AATCGCTAGTAATTTTTTTAGATTTTTGACCTTGAAAAATCAGATTAGTTCGCCCTGGAAATGGAGATTTATTCATGATATTTATTGGTGTCCTAATAGACTTTTTGAATATCTACCTAACAAAAAAAAATCATTCCAATCGGTTGAAAAATGTAAGTTTTATAAGGGTGGTTCCATCTTAAATGGGTCACACTGTATATATTTCACCAACTATTCAGGTGGCGGAAAATCGCCATAGCTATTATAATATTCGACTACCCAGCCACGTCTTTTATATGCAACCCAATGAGTCCCTTTACCTCGAATACTATCGAGATCGAGAATTGCTGATTTTATATGACGTGGTGGAAAATTTGGCAGATTATTTCTCATAAATATATACTTCGAAAGTTTGGTACACCCATTTTCTCTATGAATTGTGATGAATCCATGTCTCTGTCAACGCCCGTCGAGGTAACCCTGGTAGTTTTTGAATTTTGCGGCTTCAAATAAATGCTGAGCCCATTTCGGTACCTATACCTAACCAACAAACAATTTTGGTCCTTATTACGTCGGCCCGAAATCTGCTTGCCAGAAGTGCCGACGCGGCAAAAGAGCGGCAAACGGCAAACGAACGTCGGTCAGACGTCAATAGGTCACTCTCGCTGACGGCCGGACCGATATGTCTGTATTCCGTCAGACCCAAAATTAAAAAAAGGAGTGACCGGTCGCCGCATTCGAACCTGCGACCTTCGGATTACGAAGCCACTTCAAAGCATTTTATTTTCTCTTCCAAATTCTTACATCACATATAATACAAGCACATTTATACATTTAAGAACATAATACAGAGCTTCTTCTGTATGTTGTGGTCCTCCGCGTGGTGCAGAGTTGGCTGATGTTGGTCAAGATGGATGTGGGTGTATATGCGAGGTGTTAGTCACAGACGCCTATATATCCTAGGGCTGAGCCCTTTATTTATTTATTTATTTATTTATTTATATTCACACAGGCCTATTGGCCTAATTACATGAATATATATATATATGTATATATATAAATATTGAAGAAATACAGTTGATTCTAATGTGTTACAGAAGAGAGAAAAATATAAAAAGAAAAAACAGTAGAAATGTGTGGGACAGCAATACGAAATGAAAATAAGTGTTGTTGATATCTATAATAGCACATACAAGTGGGTCAGTATGATAACATTTGTTGAAAAATTACTTTTTTAAATCTGTTGAATGTCATATAGACCAGTCTAAATCAGTTAATGAATTTATATAATTAGCTAATTTGAGCATATTTACAAGAGGGGAGTGGGATGTTGTGGATATTAACGTGGTATTAAACATCAGAGGAAATCTGGTTCTGCGGGCCGACACATGAAAAGATATCAGAGCTAAGAGATCCGAAGAATTGATCTGATAATTTATAATTTTATACAAGAATGACATCATACTCACTTTAATTCTGTTATCAATTGAAATAACACCAAATTCTGACCTGAGCTGAGATGATCGAATAGTTACAAAGTCTGGCCATCTTCTATATTTCCTGAAATATAGGTGCCTCAAAAAACTATTTTGTACTTTTTCTAAGGATTTCAGAGTAGTTTGCGATTCTCCATTCCAAATTACTGAGCCAAATTCAAGTTTTGACCTCACAAGAGTGTAGTATAACCCGATTAATGTTTTTACATGTCTAAAGTTAGAACCTTGTCTAATAACGAAACCAAGTGTTCGTGTTGCAGACTTTGTGGTATTTTCAATGTGTTTTTTAAATGACAATTTATTATTGTATGTTATACCAAGATCTTTGATTTCAATGCATCTCTTGAGATAATCATCAGCTATTTTGTAATCAAAAATTATTTGTTCTTTAGCACGAGATATTGTCATTACTGAGCATTTTCCAACGTTGAATGGTAATTTGAATTCATCGCTCCATTTGTATAAAGCATTTACATCTTTTTGAAGTAAGACACAATCTCTGACTGTTTGGATTTTCTTGAATATCTTCAAATCATCTGCGAATAACAAACATTCCGAATATTGGATCACCGAGGGTAAATCATTAATAAAAAGAATGAAAAGTAAAGGCCCTAGGTTTGATCCTTGAGGCACTCCTGAGTTAGCATGGAATTTTCCGGAAGTATTACCATTATACCTAACTATAAAATTTCTGTTTTCTAAATAGTTTTTCAAAAGCTTCAAAATTTTTGCAGATAATCCAAACTTGTTTATATAGGTAGTCTCACGACTGAGGATACCCAGGGTGGTGAGAGAGTTGATCAATCGCTTTCAGTAGTGAGTTGGTTCTTCGAGGAAGTAGAGGAAAATTAAAATCACAAAACAAAAACCTCCTTCTGATTTGGCTCGGCCAGTCTTTGGCTGTGGGGCCAATCGTCGGGCCCAGGCGCGTCCGCACGTCTGACCGAGTTCAATGTCAGTTTGTCACTCTTTGAGAGACCCTGACATTATTTTATTTTCGTGTTTGGGAGATTGTGAGGTCTGGATCCCCCCGGATCCTCGTTGAGGTTACTAGGCTGCGGGGGGGGGGGGAGATCCCGACTACGAAGCCGGGATCTTTCTTACCAACTAAGGCATTTTCACTTCTTAGGGATATTTCATTCACATTGCCCGTCATGGTTAAAGCTGATAATCCCATTTCATTGTGCTTAACCGTGACGTCATTTCCGTTAGGGCACACCTCCCCTAATTGTTCACGAATTGAAATATACAGGATATTATGGAAACACTCAAATTACAAATAAATAGTGTATGTCGATGATCCCGTTCATCATGGGCAAATGTACAGAGATTGCGAAATGGTAGGGTATAGACCGTTGGCCCATAACACTAGGGGTGTCGATTATCTACGAAGGTATGCCCTTCAAGAGACATGAAGATTGAGTTGGATTATCGGGAAAAAAGTGGTTAGTTGGATCGGTACCCGGTCGCCCATCTCCCTAATCAATCAACTTCCTGTTGAAAGTAATGTTGAAAATTGTTTTATAGAAGAAGCTTTAAAATTCATTGGAATAGTCGCATCTCGCCAAATTAACCGGGCGCTAGCCGATTTGCATACGTCTAGGTCGGTCCCGAAGGGCGGCATACGGACCGCAAGTTACCGTTAACCGACATTTCTCTTAGATTATTTACGATGGTATGCCCTTTGGTTAATTCCTTCATTTCGACCCATGAATCAATGCCATAACATTTGCATACAGTTTGGGTGGGCGAATTTAGACTTATTCGAAGGTCACTTTACATCATTGACCTGTATGTACAAGATTATCTACGAAGCTCCCAAATTTTGATCAAGGTTAGTTAAGCATAAACTATGCATGGAATAATGATTTGCATACGATTTGCGAGTTGCGGGGATTACATTTAGCCCAGTAAAATTAGCAAAAATGGCGGCAAAATTCGTTCAACACCCTGTAAGAGCTCAAGATATCGACAATCAAATTCTTTCTAACTTTAGAACTTACACAAAACTCGTCCCGATTTACCCGTTTCGAGTTATTCGAGGTCGAAGTTTCGAAAAATCAGTTTTTGGTTCAAAAACCACTAAGAAACTAATTATTATGTCTGTATACGACGCGTCTGAACTGCCATCCTAAAAAAACTTTTTTTTCACGGATATTTGCCTAATTTACCGTTGATCTCCTAATTCACAGTTGCAACTGTAAATTAGGGGATGTATAAAAAAAAAGTTTCCCCTTCCTAATTTACAGTTGCAACTATTAATTATGCAAGTACTCGTGAAAAAAAAGTTTTTTCAGGATGGCAGTTCAAAAGCGTCATAGAGTTGGCCTAAAAACTAAAAAAATATATTTTCAACTCAAAACTTGAAGAATTATGTATTTTTTTTAAATTTTGATCTTGATCCACAGGGTGACGTATTACATAAAGGAAACGAAATACAAGGAAAAAACCGCAAAAATGCGATATCTCATAGAATCCAACAAGACTATCTGCCGGTTCTGCAAATGAGATGCGCCCCCTGACATCCCCCCTAGAGTCATCCTCTATCATCCCCGGCCCCCGGCACTAGTAGTAGGTGCCAGATTCGATCTCAGTGACCCCGAAACCTTCCTGAGAGCCCTTGGCACTCGATCATCCTGGAATTTCCAGTTTCAACTTTTTAATATTAGAAAAACTGAAAAAAATGGACTCCTCATAGCAAAATCGACGTATGCTCACAATACATTCGTATGCAAACGCTATTTTCTTATTCAGTATAACTGAATCTATCACCTGATTGAATGGCATACAAAATTATATAATCTTGATATATATATAATCGATGATGTAAAGTGACCTTCGAATATGTCTAAATTCGCCCACCCAAACTGTATGCAAATGTTATGGCATTGATTCATGGGTCGAAATGAAGGAATTAACCAAAGGGCATACCATCGTAAATAATCTGAGAGAAATGTCGGTTAACGGTAACTTGCGGTCCGTATGCCTCCCTTCGGGACCGACCTAGACGTATGCAAATCGGCTAGCGCCCGGTTAATTTGGCGAGATGCGACTATTCCAATGAATTTTAAAGCTTCTTCTATAATACAATTTTTAACATTACTTTCAACAGGAAGTTGATTGATTAGGGAGATGGGCGACCGGGTACCGATCCAACTAACCACTTTTTTCCCGATAATCCAACTCAATCTTCATGTCTCTTGAAGGGCATACCTTCGTAGATAATCGACACCCCTAGTGTTATGGGCCAACGGTCTAGTAGGGATTAGGAAAGTAAAAGGGTATAATTACTGGAATGATGCAAAAGAGCTGGTGTACTGCCTTCGACTACTGTGGGGTTCTAAAATGGCTGGCCACACTGGACACGATAATGATCTTTCAAAGAGCCTTTAAAAAGAGTTACCTTGAAAAATAAAATTGAAGTCAATCATCAAAATTGTATTTAGGTATACTTCTCAAAGCAATAAGTCTGATAATAACTTTTTACAGCTTAATAATGTAAAAAAAACAATAAAATCACAAAATTCAATTGTACAAACTCCACAGACTAATGATTCCATCAGCTCCACTGGCTGCCATGATATTCGAATTCCAATATTTCACCACATGTGGTGAAAATTGTACATCTGTTATGGGTCCTTTATGTTCTGCCAGTACAGCTAATATCCTTAGAGTCTTCCAAGAGAACATTCTCAGTCTTCCATCCCAGCCTCCAGATACTAAAATTTTTTTATCCGGACGCAATTTGACAATGTTGCAGCCTTCGTTGGTAAGCGACAGCTCCAACTTCAAAGACATATTGAAATCTTTGTCAATGGTGAACATCTGTAGGGAATTTGAGGAATTTCCACATACCCCTCTTCTTGTACACGGATCGAAAGTGAGCGAAGTTATTTGTTCATGTAGTTTTAAGTGACCACAAGGTTTGAAAGTGTTCAAGTCCCACAATATGATGTCGCCTGAAATAGAAAACTTTCTAGAATTTTTGTCACTGATTTTTCGTGTGTAAAAGGGGTGTGTATAATTTGCAGACTGGAATAAAATGCTGCGGACCAGCTATTTTCAGCAAATAATTCGCTGGTTTTATGGAATAGGCAATCAGCTCATCGAATTACGCGATAAGAAGATTCTGGGCCAGTGAAAAATTGTATTTCATCATAACGGAGTACTAAATTTAACAAGTTCACTGTCGCAAACCGTTTTTCCCCTGAGCTCAGTAAATTTTTTAAATAATTATTGAAATTCTTGATATATCGTAACTTGAAAAACGCATGACGTAATCATTGGAAAAAATACGTATTTATTAACCTTGTCTGTAAGAAAAGTGCAAGAATATTTCTTATTGTCATTTCGATCAAAATATGAAAAAAGTTAGCCCCTTCAGAAGGTGCTGGACTCTAGTGAATTTTCTGAACTGAATACTTACTATAGATAACAGAGAAAACAATACACAACTGAAGAATCGGATAATAAAACGAATATCTTTGAATATTCGCATCTTGACAATAGGTCGCCTGCACGATGACCGACCATAGAGGTAAAACATCGAAACACAACCTCACTCTTCTGTGAAACGTTGAAATACAAACTGACTTTTCTTATTTGTTTACAAAGAAATCAAAGTATTGAAATAGTTTTTGACAATGTTTTGGCATACGAATCGTGTTTTTTGGGCTATTTATTAATTCAAGCATGCCATCCCATTTTGCTGTTGTGAAATGCACAAAAAATGCAGTGAGAGACGAAGGAATATGATTTTTCAGGTAAATAGTGATCTCACATAGTTTTCATTATGAAATTCTGTCATTTCTCTCTTGCCACTTCTGCAATAGATGCTACTGCTAATAGAGTTAAAATATCTACAACACATACGATCATGTTTCGTCAGCATGTCAGACCAGTTCTTCCGTTTGATTGCATGAATCCAATCTATAATTCTTCTTCCATTCTTTTAGAACCTCCACGAGTATTTTTATAACCTTCTATTGCAGAATGAATTCCAATGAGAAATGACAAAATTTCAAAATAAAAAGTATATGTGAGTGACTATATATAGTACTTTTAAATCATAATGTACCAACCTGAAAAATCGGTTTACTTCGTCTTTAGCTGCATTTTTGGTGCATTTTACAACAGCACAATGTGAGGGCATTCTAGAATTAATGAATAGCAGAGAGACATGATTCGTATGCCAAATTAATTGTGAAAAACTATTTCAATCTTTTGTGAACATATTAGAAATGTGAGGTTGTGTGGCAATGTTTTGCTTCCAGGGTTGGTCATCTGACATATCTTGCACGCAACCCATATGGATCAAGGAATTGAAGATGATGGTGACGTTAGAAAGTTAGGTTGACAATGTAGTTCGTATTCTTCTTCTCTCTTTGTATTCCTGGGAACTCTACACACTACGGCGTTGCCAGTGCCATAAAATAATTTGGATATAAATAAAATCTCGATTATTATTAGGAATACTAGGATAATTATATTGGTGCTGAAGCATCTTGCGAGTATATGTTTTCAATAAATGGTTATTAGGAACCAGGTCGAACTATTCTCTTGTGCGTGTGAATATTCTTGTCACTGGTCATATTGATTCACATAAGATGATTACTAGTTACAAATCTGACAGCGTCGAAATATGTGATCCTACTTTTCATGCGAAAGCCAGAATTCAAATAACGACGACTTTTGGTACGGTTCATGACGTCATCGAAGCTGGGTTTTTGAATGTGCTAAATTTTATTATTGAAAAAAATATCTTTGCGACGATTTTAAATATCCAATAACTTCATCAAATACTATTTATAAACGAAATGATCAATATGAAATAGCTTTGTGGAGTAAATTCGACTACAAATTCGACTAGCAAAATCGATTAATCTCATGAAAATACAGGATGAGAAATTTTCAAAATTTAAGTGAATTGAAATGATTGGACCTGCAAAAATACCCAGTCCCAGTCTGCAAAATGTCATGAAATAAATATAGGAGGGGGGGGTAGGGGAAAATGTTTTCAAACTTTCCATCGTGTATATTCTCATGGGATAAACCGATTTTTGTACAAATTGAGATGATTGGACTTGTAAAAATACCCTGTTCGCAAGATTTTTTGAAAAAAAGAGGAGTAAAGTGCTAGGAAAAACTTTTACCATTGTGTATTTTCCACCGTTTATTTTTATAAGACTAATCGGATTTTGTGAAAATTGAGATGATTTGACTTTAACACGAGTAAAGTGCTCCCCAGGGGGGCTAGGGAAAACAACAGAATTTTTTTATAGTATAGCTGGATGAGCTGAATCCACAATTTTGATAAAACCAACGAGTTGTTTGCTAAAAATGGCTAGTCTGCAGCATTTTATTCCAGTCCGCACGCAAATTATACAGTGTGTCCCACTTACCATGCTCACCATGGGTATCTTTCTAACGGTGAGAGATACGAGGTCGGTTAAATGACACCAAATGTGGAGTTTGTCAAGGCCAACTATAATGTGTAAAAATATTTTGAAAAATCTATTCGTTTTTGTTTTATACGCAAAAAAACAGATTTTGATCATTTTCATGTCTCCTCCGTAACTTCTTTTTTTATGAAAATATTCAAATAGGAATTTCACATTCTCAAGGTAGTTTTTCAAAGTGATTTCGAAAAAGATATGACATTTATACCAACTCTTCTAGAATTTGAGATATCAGCACCAACTTTAGTTTTTCAAATGTAGGTCATAGCTCACTATGACTTAGTTACAAATAACTTACCAATCTTGAATGGAATATCGGACCAAATCTTGTCCGCCATCTTGGAGCAGCCATTTTTTTTTAATTTCAACAAAAATTCCATAACTCCGATCAACTTGAAATTTCGCAGGTGTCCATAATTTCGGTGACAATATACATTATGGAATTTTTGCTGATATTGAAAAAAATGGCTGCTCCAAGATGGCGGACAAGATTTGGTCCGATTCCATTCAAAATTGGTAAGTGGGGGTTTTTGAGGTCGGAGATCATGATTTTCTTGTTGAAATTTATAAATTCGAGATGGCGGCTTCCAAAAATTTTTTTATTATTGTATAAATGACGATAACTCCTTTATTATCAACACAAAACTATTACTGCGACATATCATCTGTGAGAGAAAAAAAGTTATTTGTAACTAAGTCATAGTGAGCTATGACCTACATTTGAAAAACTTAAGTTGGTGCTGATATCTCAAATTCTAGAAGAGTTGGTATAAATTCCATATTTTTTTCGAAATCACTTTGAAATAAAACTGCCATGAGAATGTGAAATTCCTATTTGAATATTTTCATAAATAAAGAAGTTACGGAGGAGACATGAAAATGATCAAAATCCGTTTCTTGCGTATGAAACAAAAACGAATAGATTTTATCAAAATATTTTTTCACATCATAGTCGGCCTTGACAAACTCCACATTTGGTGTCATTTAACCGACCTCGTATCTCTCACCGTTAAAAAGATACTCATGGTGAGCATGGTAAGTGGGACACACTGTACACACTTGTGTAGAAGACCTCAAGAAAATGGCAGTCTAAAGGGCAACAATGTAGTCAATGTACTGAATGCAGAGAACTCACCAGATTTCAAATATCTTCTAGTGTGAATTAATATAGTAATTATTATTCACACAAATTAAATGTATTATAAGCAATAAGCCATAACACATGAGGGAATATTTTGAGGCAATTGATTTCTTATTGATAATTAGGAATATTACCAATACATAATTGAGAATTCATGAATTATTGAATAACTAATATTTCTGAAGTTCTCAATTGTATTTCAACATATGACAACTGTGCTGTCTGCCCCTATACATCAATTTTTACTCACAGTAAATTTCAAACCATTTGAAAATTACCGTGACATTATTGATGATTTAAGCACCTTAAAACCGACCAAAAAATTCTTAAAATATATTAAATTGGAAGGTATTTGTGTGAAGATTCTATTTGAGGAACAAAAAAATTGCCAACTTGCCTGACTGATGGAGCTACTCGGAGCTACTCTATGTAAATAAAAAGTTCTGATTGGTTCAAAATCATAGGAAGGAAATAATCAATATAATTTTGTTTTTAATCTAATTGAAGGAACTAAATCCAGAGGTGAAATCAATTTTTTCTTGAAACAAATTGCTAATGATATTTTGTAATTTATAACATAAAAAAACATAATAGATAGAGAGATAGATAGTATCCTTAGTGTGAATACTCAAAGGTAATATGCCCTGAAAATTGGAATTATATTTGACATGTTTGTGTGAACATAGACCTTTGATACTCTTGCTGTTGAAATACAAAAAAAAATGAATCAGTTGAAAATTGTTGATTTTTTAGGTCTGCAGGGGTCCTTGCATATAAGTGAAAAATATGAGCCTATGAAAACAATACCCTGGACAATATCAAATAAGGAAATGGAAAACTTCCCCATTGTGAATTTACTCATGTGTGACAGGTATTATGTTAGATTTTTAATCCCTACAAAATTCTTTCTATAGATGCTAACAATCTTCATTCCTTTGTTTGATAAAATCTCTAGGGGTTAAAATATGATGTTATGCAGAAGAAATTACCCAGGGGCATAATAGATCTACAATGTACAGTGAAATTCAATTAGTTAAGTTTCATCATATTTTAAAACACAATCATTCCACTCACCAGTTTCATATCCAGCCATTATGTAAACTTTATCATCAATCATCACTTTCTCCAGTGCCATTATATGCCCATGTGCTGATATATCAGGTTTCAAAACACCAATTTTTTCCAGATTATTTATATCCAAAATCTCTACTGTACCTTTTTCATCAGAAACAATTAAAGATTCATTCACTAAAATGCTCTTACAGTAGCCACTAGTACATTTGGTGGTATCTGTTATCTCATAGCTGCTACCATTTACTGACCACAAGTTGATGGAGCCAGTTTTTTCTTGTGTGATGATTCTAAAATCTATAGACCTATATGGCCTGCAAGGAACCACCCATTTCTTGTTTGTGTTGAAGTCTGTTTGTCTAAAAAAAGTTATGAGCCTCTAGTTTTTAGTATCCCAGTTAGTAATTACTTGTAGCTAAGCAAATGTGTGTGTAGGTCCCATCAATAACTATTTGAAATATAACAAGCAATATGCATAATAAGACGAGTACTGGTCAATTTAAAACTTGTATCTTGTAAAGACATTGGTAGAAGTCCATTGTAGCTCAAAGTGCAGTGATAGGGTTCATATTCAATGAGAAAAGCACAAAGTCCTCTCCATGTTGTTGTGGAGATGACTTTAAACTTTTCTTATTGGATATAAGCTTGTATTTTTTATAAAATTGAGTGAAAACAGTGATAATCTAAAAGCAACTCACTTCCAGGTCCCAGAAGTATACAATGCCCTTTTCAGTAGCAGCTAATATGTGAGAAACAAATTGGTTCCCTCTAGTGCAAAAACTCAAGTTGTGAATATATCCCATATCTCCTTTGAAACAAAACACAGGATCGGGGGGTAGAATTGCCATTTCCAAAATGTTTGTTTTAGTAAAGTAGATAAATATAATTTTCTGATGTCTTTGAAAGAATGGAACGGGAACATACCAAGATATCTGTATATAAACTAAATTCCAAGAAAAAACATTTGGCCGTTGAATTAGCAAAAAATGGTACAAAGCTCCAAATTTCAAAGGTTTTTCAACTGCTCCATACTTTTTTCGTTTTCATCATTGTTATTGTTGATGAATTTGACATCAAACTATCAAACAACAACGAACGGAACAACGACAACACAACAGGTGACTGAGAATCAGCTGTTAGGTTACGAGTGCTTTTCGACAGTTACCACCCACTACATCCATCATTCTGGCTTTCAACGCTTCACTAAGATATATGTGCTCCACTAAGATATTTTTTTCCTTCCTACGCTAATTTTCGAATGAGCTCTAAGTAGTGATAATGTTATCCTGAAGGCCAGCATGGCCGAAGGTAATTTTTTTCCTACAAGCAGCTCTGAACTACTTCTCCGAAGAAAACAGATGAGCATTGCTGTAAATGGATGAGCGTTGGGATAATGATGAAAGAATGATGGAAGAATGATGGAAGTAAGATATGGTGCGCGTATTCGGCCATTATCACGTATTGACAATTCCAGAAATATCACTCGACCGGCCTACTATGATTTCTCTACGTCACAACGAGCGAGACGTTTGATTCTACATTTTCCTGCTAGATGGTGATGCTGCTATTGCTGTTGTGACGAGTGAAAATAAAATGGCAAATGCCATTTTAGGTTCGCGGAACATATGTAACAATCGGATTGAACAACTCTGAATTCGAAAAATCTGCGACATATTTCAAAACTGACAGAAGTCATAATTGTGCAATGCCGCCATCTATTAGGAGATCAACGAAACCATTGCTCTAACCCCTAAATGTGTATGAGATTTATGATGTTTTTAGTGTTCCTAATCACTGATCACTGGTTGCAACTCATGAGGTTCTTATTCATAGGAAATCCGTAGGAGGCGCTGATATCGTCATATTTCTAATGACCATCGGACCAAACATGACCAAATAACGAAAATCATTCATACATACGACGAAAAAATACAGAAATGGTGGTTCAGTTGTTTCTATCACCAATTTCTAATCAGCAGTTCTACAAACCATGAAAGAGAATTCGTACAGTGACATCTATTAGACTTAGATATAACAAGAACCTCATATTGCGATTCCCAATATTCTCATTGTTTATTGTCAAGTTTGGGCAAAACAAGAGCACATCAGGGCACACACCATATCGCTAAACATTTCAATTACGTTATCAGGCCTGTTTGTTTGTATAGGTAAACTTGGTGAAGTTAATTTTTTCCATAATTCTCTCTGTTCATGGCATGATGTGAACAGATGAGTCATAAAAAAAAATCAAGTTCAACACGTAGAGCAAGTACATACGAAACACCTTCATTGTCAATGTATTTTTTTTTATGTATGTGTTCATAGAATATTTTGTAGTTATTATTTTGTTCTTTTTTTTGTCATCTACTCTTTTTCACTTGCTGTTTCTTATTTATATAGTACCTGTTTACATTAGAGTTTGAGTTCTTGGTATTTCCGACGATGACCTGCTATACACATGTATATATATCATAACATGGTTAAATCACTGAACTATCTATCTCATATATGTACTATTTCCATAAATGGCCAATCGCCTATATGATATCTTGACAAAAAAGAGACCAAAATGAGAGGTACTTTTTGAATCTATAAGGATAAGGACGGAAAGTCAAGGATGGAAACAGCCATATTGGTTTTTTCCCTACGCCGGCAGCGTAAGCGTAATATATCAATCAACGGCCGGTATCAACTTGGGTATCAACGCCCATTGGTCGATTTGGTTACTTATAGAGACAGAAGTTGGTCCCGCTTTGAGGACAGCTATGATTCATATATGAGTAGTAGATATATGATCTATCTATAGGCGATTCATGCTAAGGAGTACTCCCTCTACCGTTGTCTAACATAACTAACGTATGGGCCATTGATTGTTTTGTTTACATTCGTTTGCGTGTATTTTGTATGAGAAGTAGTTGTGTTTTAATTGTCTATAATTTTGTTTGAGAACTTCTATAAACGTTTAAAAACATGAGTCATCATTGTTGTGTACCTCATTGTTCATCTTGAGCAAAAAAATCCCGAGTATGGCTTCCATTCCTTTCAAAAATCAGGACAGTCTAAATTTGTATTTGAAACTAATAATTTGGGAAAGAAGGAAGTGATCGGTAGGAGAAAGGTGTGGATTCATAACTTGAAGATTGGAAAAAGTGTCTGAACATAATGAGATATTGTTCTTTACACTTCACTGAAAATTTACTCATACCTATTGGTATATTTTCAAATGTATGTCTATTATGAATATAATACCTACTTCTTGAGGTGGTGGTAAAAGAACAAACAAATTTCGAACTGATTATATCTGTACTCATGAACAGTAGCATTTTTAAACAGTAAAGAATGTTATCAATCAGGGTTTCGATGATTATGTTGTAAAAAGTCAAGTAGAAACTGTTTACCTGAATCCACCTTCCAAAGAACACTTTATTCCCAAAAAGTTTGCTAGATTTTTTATAAAAAATATCATGCACTATCAGGGGAATATATCCCAACTATAAATTCGAATTGGAAATCAACATTCCACACAGGTTTTCATGAGAATGGGCTTATATCACAAAAAAATTTCATTCCATAATTCGATAGAACTCACCCAAACTAGCTCACCACCGCAAACCGTTTATCGCTGTGAGCTCCCTACGTTTCATAAAAAATTATTGAAATCCCCGATTTTTCGGACCTCTGAAAACGAGGCGATGATGTGACGTCAAAACCCTAATACTGAAACAGGACTATTCCAGACAGAGATGAATGATACATGATTTCTGGCAGAGTGAATTAGCGCGAGATCAGTTGCCTCAGTATCCGTCCGGCGTTTGGTATTTTCTTTTAACTATGGCGAGATGAGGTTTCTACGTCATAAAAGGGTCCGTTTTCAGATGGTACTATTATTTATGTCCAAAAATTGAACATTCCAGTAAATTTTTCGATCGAATTATGTCGTCAATCATTATTTATGTATGAAAGGATCATTATAAACATGGTTTGAGTTGAAAGTTCTACCAAGGTGTACACGCCCATTATTGTTCAATGATGATAAAAACTTACAGCCTACGCATGAATTTCAACTAGAGGTAGGGAGGTTATCTAATGTTGAACAGAGATAATATAGTCCTCAATCAAAACACAGTAGACCGCTGGAAAATACAAAGTTCGAAAATAGACAAATAACAAAGCTGGACGTTTGAAAACTCAAAACGAAATGAACATAAACACCATTACCAAACAATGTAAACAATCCGCCAATGGCCCATAGAGTAGTACCGACATTCGCCGTTCTGGCGCTACGATCTTAATCTCAGTCGCCTATGGAGTATGGACCAAAGTTGAAAGCTAGAATGATGAATGTAGTATACGCCACTGTCGCGAAGCGCTCGTGCCAGTTTATGGTTGCCAATGTCAATTGTCTTATTGTCAGATGTCAGATTCAATATTCAATATTCAATGTTTTTTTGTATTTATTTTATTATTTACATTTGTCACTTTCTTGACATCTGATTATCTGATAAATAATAATTTGCAAATTATAATTTTTCAATAACTTACTACGCAAATGACATGATTCAGATAATAACTGAATAGCAACAAGGTAATTATATATAATTACAAATTCCATTGGCTAGAGACATGCCCCCACTGGCCCCACTGCTATTTTGTAATTTGTTTGTAGATGGACAAGTTTGCTGTTGATTTGGACCAGGTTCTCAACGATTTTGAATACAGTGAATTCACAGACCAGTATAATGCAACGAGAAATACATCTGCTTCCACCCAAAATAATGGTACAATGCACTCCATAAACAATGTATTCCACAGTTTGAATGAATATTTGAATACCAATATCGATATAACTAGTTCAAGTCAAACCCAGAAAATGCCTGAAAAAGATACTGTCAATATTCCTCAACATTCTGAAAAGTGTTCTACTGAACCAGGCAGTAAAATCACTGAAAAAATTGATTTAAATGAAAATGACCTCCATGCTCAGAAACATAATGGAGCTGGTGATTTTGCAAATATTCAAATAATAAATGTTGAGCAAGCTGAAAATATCAAAAATATCAATAAAGAACTGCTTGATGAGACAGAGACAATTAGCCCAGAATATTATGTAAATCATGCCAACAAAGAGGATATTGAGAAGGAAAGCATAAGTAATGAAGAACAAGTTCTACATACATTTGACAACAGTATAGATGAAAGAAAACCAAATAGTGATCACTCTATCAAACACAATACAGAAAGTGAACTAATTGTAGTACTTGATTCCAACAAAAAAGGAACAGAGGTGGTAGAGGACATTGGTGTTGAAATTATTCATTTTGAAGTGAAAGATTCTGTGGCTAAAACTGAAGTTGTGAAAAATGATCATGATACACCTAAGCAAGAAAATTCAGATGACTCTGTAGAAGCATGCAACACTGTTGGATTTGTGGATGACTTAAACTTAGATGACACTGCAATTAATCAGTTATTAGCTGAACTTGAAGATGAATTCAAAGATAATGATGAGAAATCAGATGTCCACTATAATGAGAAGGATCATGTGGAAACAGATATTTTAGAAAAAACTACAGAGGTCATGGAAGATTTGAATCAGTCAATCCCTATTCATGGTAAGCAAGATGAAAATGATCATGCATGCATGCTCTGTTTTGTTCTTGGTTTTGTTGTCATTATAATAATAATATCTTTATTGCAGTAATAGTTATTTATGTATCAAGGGCGTAAAGTAGGCATTTATGGCCTGTGGCGTGAATAATGGCCCGACGGCGCTAGCCGTGGGCCATTACACGCTCAAGGCCATAAACGCTTTTCACGCACGTGATACATACAAAATTTTATGCACTAGTGGTTTATTTTCTGACTCAAAAGTAATGACTATAGATTTCGATAAACTAATATTCCCCCAACTTGATTTGTTGCTTATTAATTCAGTAATCAAGAGAAGCGTAATGTTCATGGATGATTTACATATGAAAATTATCGTATGAATATTGCAATTATCGTAATAGTAAAACTCTGATCTCTAGAAGAGATTCATTATTCAGAATTTTACAATATGCATACCCAGTATATATACCTAACTAATTTTGACGTTGTCAATCAAGCTGATGGTTGTTGTCTATATCAATACATACAATATCAATCATACAATAAACGAGCTGAATTGTCATTCTTTGACTGAAACGTAAAAATTAGTGATAATAATAATAGTGATAGATATGGAATCGGATAGAGAAGAAGTTTATGATATATCGCTGGATATATAAGAATCTAGGAAAATGATCATAGGTTTTCCATGAATTGATATGTGGATATAAGGTAACTGAGAACAGCGGGCGGTAAAGTGTACTTTACGGCCCGTGGGCCATAATGAGCCCGCGGGCGGTAAAGTGCGACTTAACGCCCGCAAAACCGAGCGGTAAAGTGCACTTTACGGCCCGCTAGTGCATAAAATCTATAAAGACCATAGCAACATCAAAAAATGTAACCATTCATAAAATGGCATTAGGAATCACCAAAACAAAAATGGCAGTGGGGTTGAAATATTTCCAACAATTATAGCATTAGTGCTTTATTGCTCAACAACTTAGGAAAATATTTCTACATTCTACATAGAAATGTCAATTTACCTCCACAGTAGGATTGTACTGAAATATCCACATTACATTAGCCCTATTCTACAGGGTGTTTCATAATTGAATGCTGATCCTAAAGGGCAATGATCCTTGGATGATTTTAAGGAGAGAAGTTCATATCAACATGTGTCCTGAACCTCTTAGTTTTTGAGCTACAGGGTGTTGAAATCAGAAGCGTACAGCGTTTTTTTAAACTAAACATTCAATATCAGGTCTACGAGGACATTACTGGTAAAAGTAAAAATTTGATTTTCTTCCCAAAACAAAATGAGTTTTCACTTATAGTGGGTGTCTCCTGAATTACCAAAAACAATTTCCAAGAACTGAAGCAGAGATTATGGTCTGTATAATCTCTGACTGAAGGAACAAAATTCTTTGGTTTTTATTTTTTTACGCGAAAACGGTACTTTGTATGAAAGTAAGTCTAGGAACCAAATTTGCTCCAGAATCAATAAGAATTGAAAAAAAAATCTGGTTCTCAGAAAAATCAGTGGCGTACTATTTTTTTCTTCGAAAATTGTCAGTTCAAACCCCGTACGGACGCCACTGGTGAGAATTTTCAAATATCTTTCACGTGAAAAAATGCTCCTTGATAATGAAAAGGTGTATACAAAATATCATAACAATATCTAAGAGTGATAAAAAATTATGATGAAAAACTCATTTTTTTCTTGAAATTTCATCACCCTGTAGCTCAATAACTAAGAGGTTTAGGACATATGTTGATATGAACTTTGCCCTTTGAAATCATCCAAGGATTATCGCCCTTAAGGATCAGCATTCAATTATGAAACACCCTGTATACATATTAATGATTAGAAGTGAGACAAGCAAAACTTTTTAGACCCATCATAACTTTGGATTGAATTAACCAATTTTTCAATTCTTTCAAGATTCTAATAGACCATTTCATTGAGTACAACGTCTGTACTTTTTTGTCATTCCACCTTTTCAACATGAAGACCTACAGGGTGATATCTGAAAATGTGATAATTTCCAAAAAGTTTGAGATCACCTTGTTTGGCAGGGATGTTTTTTTTATGTTTCATTGGGGGTGATAATATGAAGCATAATGAGTTTTCTGGAAATGGTTTGGACTAGACTGGTATACGGAATTTTTTACAATATATTGCATTATGTTGTATATTGTACATTTTCAAACATAATGAATGTGAAAATAAATGAAAACAGTAGGTACTAAAAAAATGCCAATATAATAATCACAAAAAGAAAAAAACAACTGCTCTCGTGGCTATATGTCACGCAGAAGATTGGATTACATCCTCCCGAAATCTATACAATAATTCATATACAGTGTCATTCATAAAGTCGGCATCATATGGGAAAAAATTTTATCAATGACTTATCTTGAAATTCCAGTTGGACGTTGAGTTTTGCTTCAAAAAAGATGAAAAATGGCCTACTCAATCGGGGTCACGTGACTTTCGCTATATGTCAAAAGTGACATTTTTTCAAATTAATCGCTGAAAGTAGGCTTATTTGTTCGAATATCGAAAAAGTTTACTTGAAAAAGTTGTTTCTATTTGAATTTAACATATGTGACTCGGATTTTATCTTTCTATTACATTTATTAGATTTCGATATTTTTGAAAAATTTTCGAAATTTCTGTAATATTAAAAAAATTGTAAATTCGATAAAACTACTTCATACCAGTAGCTTCATCATGTTACTAACTTTTAATCACTGATTATCACTAATTATCGGCAAAAATATGATTTTCTTCAGAAAATGATAATCTCCTCTTCAAAATTCTGTTATATTTGATGCAAACATAACATCAAAATTCTGTTATGTTTGAGTCAAGCATTTAGGAAGCGGGTATTATCATTTCCTGAAGAAAATCATATTTCTGTCCACAATCAGTGATAATAAGTAATTGAAAGTAAGAAGCATGAAAAAACTACTGGTTTGAAGTAGTTTCGTGGAATTAACAATTCTTCAAATATTACAGACATTCCGAAAAATTAAAAAAAAAAATCAAAATCTAAAAGTTGCAATAGAAAGATCAAATTCGGAAAGCATGTGTAAAATTGAAATAGAAACAACTTTTTCAAGTGAACTTTTTCGATATTCCAACAAATAAGCCTACTTTCAGCGATTAATTTAAAAAAATATCACTTTTGACATGAAGCGAAAGTCACGTGACCCCTCGCGTGACCCCGATTGAGTAGGCCATTTCTCATCTTTTTTTAAGCAAAACTTAACGTCCAACTCGAATTCCAAAATGAGTCAATAATAAAAGTTGAATCACAAGTGTTTCCTTTATAAACGCCGAGCTGCGCCTAAGTGGTTCAGGAACGCCTAACTACCTGCAGACCGGTTTCGAGCTGTTGGCTCTCATCAGTGCAGAGCTGTCCCAGATAGCATTCTTGACCGCTATCTGGTGCGATCCTGACCTAATTTAAACGTATCTCAGCATTTATACCCCACGAGGCGTTCAACTTCCGTGAAATGAACGCGAAGGCCGAACGCCACCTGGCAAGGGAAGAAACATTTGAAAGAAAATACCAAACGCTTGACGGAGACTGAGGCAACTGATATATTAGTTCTTTCAACTGTGATCTCGCGCTAATTCACTCTGCCTGGAATAGCCTTGTTTCAGTATTAGGGTTTTGACGTCACATCATCGCCTCGTTTTCAGAGGTCCGAAAAATCGGGGATTTCAATATTTTTTTATAAAACGCAGGGAGCTCACAGCAAGAAACGGTTTGCGGTGGTGAGCTAGTTTTGATGAGTTCTATCGAATTATGAAATAATTTTTTTTTGTGATGTAAGCCCATTCATTTTTTCTACAAACGTCAAAAAATGACAAGGTTCGCGCATTGATGACAAATTGCGAAGTGGCATTTTTATTCAGTTTCTCGGCTACGCCTCGTTAAAAATATCAGCTCTCGATCACCAAAGTAGCATTTCGCGCTCTAGATACAAAAATAACTAATCAGTTCACTCGCCCATTCTCGCTCGATGTGGTTGTTCATTATCATATTATCATTAACCAGTATAATAGTTATTTGTTTAACTACGCTCGGCTATGAATTCAGCCTCGGCAGTCAATCTACTTTGCTGCCGAGTTGAACATATAATTTTTTCTCCGATTGTTCATAATGATATAGGAGGATATTGTAATTGCAAATTATTACAATCTCTCTATTTTTCCTGTAGTGTTCAATTAAAATGAAATTTGATAGAAATCGCAGTTGTCCATGATAATTATAGTTTGACAATTCATGAAAATTCTGACAATTGTGCGAAAAAATATCGGTATATTCAAATTATTATATAATGGACAGTGATAGCGTCCTGGAAGTACTTAAACCTCCAGAAATGAAGGAGGTGGCAAAAAATATAGAGTTGAATTTGTTGCCGGGGAAGTCTTGAATGAAATATGAAGGAAATTATAAACGATTTATGGATTATTAATTTTGCTGATACATATCAATCAATCAATCTCGACTATTTTTTCAACTCGGCTACGCCTCGTTAAAAAAATCAGATCTCGATCACCAAAGTAGCATTTCGCGCTATACATACAAAAATAAATATTTCTTATGTTGAAAACGGGAGCAGAATCGGCCCCGAAACGTCCAAAGATAAGTGAAAATTTGATATTTTCTCTATATATATACCTTTATTTCTCTTCTCTAAACTTCTTTCCCCGCTTTTTTCAATACAAATTGTCACTGACAAGCTAGTGAATTTTTCTTTTAGGCTCTCTGATAGGAAAATTCTTTAAACGCAGTGCCATTTTGGGGCAAATCATCTGATTTGTCCTTACTACACGTATATTGAAATAATATCCATATTTTTATTTTATAGAAACGAGGAGAGAAAATCCCAAAAAAAAAATGGAATAATGAATGTACCACCTCCTCGATTAACCTACAGACAGTATTCAGTATAAAATTGTCACCAAAAGTTTTGAGCAACTGGAAAAACAAATTCCCTAACAGCATCCCTCGGCTGCGCCTCGTTGAAAAAATCAGTTATCGATCATCAAAGTTGCATTTTGCGCACTAGATACAAAAATAAATATTTGATAGAAATGCATAATGTATAGTGCAGAACGTGTAGACAAATCGTTTTGTTTTCTTTTTTGAAACTTTGAGGAAAATATTCGAAAATAGGGTATTTAAGTAGCCTAAAATTAACCATCCAATACCGATATATCAAATCAGTGAAGCTAACGAAGCCGCAGGATTCTTTTGAAAAATATGCAGCAAAAATCCAAAATGGGATAGTTATTGAGCTCACAATCTAACCGATAATCTAACGCTTTGCCTAATAAAATAGTCATAAAATATGCTTTGGATAGTAATGCATATTGCCTAGTGAATAATGCGTATTTCGACAAATTGTTTCGTTTCTTTTTGTTTGAGCAAAAAATTCGAGAATAGGGATTAATAAGCCTAAAATTAGCCATTTGATCCCAATTTATCAAATCAGTGAAAAATATATTCTTTTCAGAGATTACTCTGCTGAGTTCGCCCGAAGCTAGCTAAGCCATAGGTTTCTTTTATAAAATATGCGGCAAAAAATTTCAAAATGGGATAGTTATTGAGATTACAATCAATACTTACGCTTTGCATTATGATATCTTCATAAAATATGTTTTTGATACAAATGCATAATGCCTAGTTATTAACGCGTATTTCGACAAATCGTTTCGTTATTTTATTTCGAGGAGAAATGTGTACATTGGAATTCCCATAAATCGGAATACCCCGAAATTTCTCGAAATTTCCCGGAATGCCCTGCAATTCCCCGGATTTCCCCGGAGTTTTTTTGAATAAATCGATTCTTTATTAATTTCCAAAATATGCTTTTCCAGATGTGATTGGTAAGGAAATAATTAACAATGCAGATGATTCAGTTAGTGCAACAGGAACAAGTGATAAAGAAGATTTCATAATCGATAACAAAATCAAAGAGAACACTTCTTCCACTGACCCTCAACCATCACCTTATAAAACAACTGTTGGAAAAAACGACGAAGAAACTGGATATGATGTGACAACAAAGGATGAAGATACTAAAATTGATATGGCAACCATGAAACAGACAGACCATGGTGTAGGCGATTCTACTGGTACTAATGAAGTGGAAAATGCAAATAGTGTTGCTGATTCCGATAATAATAGTAGTGGTCCACAAGAAATAGAAGGTTCATGTGATTCTTCTAGTAGACCACAAAATTTATCCTTGAAGGGAAATGATGGAGATTCTCAACGTGAAATCAATTTGATAGGTATTTTTAATTTTTTTTATAAGTACTACTTAGTTGACTTATACCTTTGTATTAACCCTGTTTTCTACATTTTGGGTTCATTTGCTAGAGACAGTCCAATGAAATTGAATTTGAAGATTACTATTGTTCAACTATTTTCATGTTCCTGGTGAATGATTCTTTCAGAATTCTTCAAACAAAATAACACTACCCCATATCTCCTGTGTTGCCTTGTGGCATTCTAGCTAATAAAGTTTATATAAACATGTCTCCTAACTTGCTCCGTTTTTGAGATACAGGATGTTGAAGTTGGAAGTATTAATACTTTCTATTCACAACCTCCCTGTATGAGGTTTCATGGTGCCAAAATTCAGTATGGATGGAGACTGAGAAAGCCCTAAAATGGACAACACCTACATTGAAATTTGGGGTCAAATCGATTTTTTATTGTTTCCTCAAAAACTAAGCAAGATACAAAAATCACACAGAGGATAAAAAAGTTGTTATTTCAATAGTTCAATTGAAAAAAATATATGAAACTTGCACTAGTAGAAGCTTTATATTACTATTAACAAAACCACAACGTTTCATCAAAATTGATGGAAAGACAATTATTGAGAAATGAATAAAAAAAATATTGTTATTGGAAATATAATGTTTATATGGACTTTATATTCTAAAATATCACAGGGAATAATCCCTGAATGTTTTCGGTGTTATTTAGATACACCCTGTGTACAGAGTGTTTCATAATATTTGCGCAGGACTTCAGGATGTGATAACTCGTCCAAAAATATGAGATAATCTGTATATCAACTTACCGTATAATACGTACCATTTTCGAGATACACGTTGAAATTTGAAAAAAAAAAATCGTTTTTTGCGAACATCTCTGGAACCGTTTATGACACAGAAAACATCTTTTGCAAGCATTCTCTACTCATAATACGCTATGTTTTGTGGGGAATCCATTTTCTTCAGTCATAATGGGCGTGTACACCTCAGTAGAACTTTCAACTTAAACCATGTTTATAATGGTGCTTTTATACATAAATAATGATTGACGACGTGATTAGATCGAAATTTTAACTGGAATGTTTTATTCTTGGACATAAATAATAGTACCTTCTGAAAACGGACCCTCTTATGACGTAGAAACCTCATCTCGCCATAGTTAAAAGAAAATACCAAACGCCTGACGGAGACTGAGGGAACTGATATATTAATTCTTTTAACTGTGATCTCGCACTAATTCACTCTGTCTGAAATCATGTATCATTCATCTCTGTCTGGAATAGTCTTGTTTCAGTATTAGGGTTTTGACGTCACATCATCGCCTCGTTTTCAGAGGTCCGAAAAATCGGGGATTTCAATAATTTTTTATAAAACGTAAGGAGCTCACAGCAAGAAACGGTTTGCGGTGGTGAGCTAGTTTGGGTGAGTTCTATCGAATTATGAAATAAATTTTTTTTGTGATATAAGCCCATTGCTGTCTCCTCAACTTCTACGGCACTGTAAAAAGTACAGTATTGAACCACCCATTTGAACCGCCAATGTTTTCTACACAAAAAAAAATTCCTAGTCATAGACTCTAAAGTTGATCGTTTTCGAGAAAAATCAACTTTTTTGTTCTATTTGGTTATATTCCGAATTCAACTGACAGTACTGAATCTGCTGATTTTTCATTCCGAAATGAAAAAAAATTCACTGAATACTGAATGTGACAGATACTTGTGAGCAGACATACTATTCTTTCCAAATATTTTGACTCAACATTCTTCTGAAATTACTGACTATTAAAAGTTGATGTGGCTTCAGTAAACTGTCATTATTTTTTCAATTCAATAATGAATTAATACTGTAAGAAAGACATAGGCTGGATAAAAGGTGATTCCGATCTAAACGCCGGTTTTTTAAAAATAACATCGTTTTATTTCGTTTAGAATTACAAACATAAAAGGATATAACAGGCATTTCCTAGTCAGGCTATAATTGATACATATCAATCTACGAGAACTCGAATATAAAGACATATCTTCACAATGAATGTGATAATCAGATCATATTCGAAGCTATGAATGGAAAACAACTTCCACATATAGAACTTAATAGTAGAAATATAATATTTACTCACTAGGGTGATGAAGCCAGCAGTACGAATCGACATAATGTATAATTCACATTCACTACAGTGCCCTAACGAACACTGGACAGAATGATATAACTGACATTCACTACAGTGCCCTAACGAACACTGGACAGAATGATAAAACAATAATGATAATAATAGAAAATAGAATGAACATATGAATATAACAGTATAATATTCATAACCTTGCCCAATAACATGCATAGGTATCTTCGTATACCTGTCTTCAACAATTATATGATAATTTCACAAAGGGAAAAGGTACTCACGGTTTCCACTTCAATAAATATAAATAAACACAATAATATCAGAGAACAAAGCCACTACCCTAATAATAATTTCGAAGCGGTCAAACGATAACTGAACTAACATAACTCGCTCACACCCGCTTGCTCACTATGTCGGTATTTTGCCTTGCGCCACCAGCTCAGCTTTTACAGTGACGCATGGTAATATTATGTGTAACAACTGTACGGGGTGTCCCGCGGGTGTTTCTTACAATACTATAATTTTTAATGTCAGAAATTGCCTGATATTGAAATAATTGACGAAGAGAATAATATCTAGTCAGATGAACGAGAAACTATACATAAGTGACAACCTGACAACTGACAAAGTTCAGCAGCTGATCAACTGCTGCTGATTACTGATGAAAACCATGAAAACATGTTCCGAATTACTGCACTGTATTTTTGATTTAATATTTCGGAACACAGATTTTCAGCGGAGTCTGTGGATTTACTGATAGTGCTGACCAGTTGAATACGGAATATGGCCTTTGTTTACAATCATACAGACTTAAAAAGTTTCACACTGTAAACTGTGCGCCAATGATCACAGTTTTTTTTAGCACTCGCGTAACGCTATTAAACCTATTAGAAAATGTTTGGGTCTAATCTTTCGATTTCATACCAAATATTCGTAGTACCTTAGGTACCACTTCTCAAGTTAAAAGGAACATATAACTGTAACGATAATTTTCTTTGATATAACTTTACTTACCGCCTAACTACAAATTTGGGGTTTGAATGGTGAACTTCTTCACAATCTACTCATTGGCGAACCAAAATAGACTTTTAATAAGTGTCTATACCATGGACGTATAAACAAAGAAGGACCCATTTATTTACATCGTAATGTGAAGTCAGAGAATACGGTCACAGTATATCACCTGTTGTTGAATTGGAGGTTGTCACGTCCTGTCGCTATGAATTCCTAACCTCAGTCTAATCCTCTCAAGTATTTTAACTTAACCCTTTTGTAATCATCTATTCAATTAGATGGTCATTATGATCCAATTCGTAAATCTCAAGGGATAAATCATATGTCCATTGATAGTCCCAATCATATATTATATAATACTGTCGTTATACATTATATCAAATTTATTCTGTAAAGGTTACCGAGATTATAGACAACCGACAACGCCGCTGCAAAACAGGCTCGTTTCGTGCTTTCGGCGAGTTCGGCGTTGTTTGTGTTTATGGTTATGTGTTTGAGGAAGTTTATTGTTTTCGTTGTTTTTGAGTCAATTTTCTTATTTATTTGTGAAAAGTTGAGAGACAGAGACTAATAATGGTGTTACACTGCTGGATTTGCGAAAAAAACAAAGTTTTTATACCCAAATCTCACCTTCCATTCGTAAGTACTATTTGTTTACATGTTTGAATTAGAGTTTCATAGGCGTAACAATTGATATTTTCATCAAATAGAGAATGCGAAGCCTCAATGTATTTCTTCATATATGTATATATCCATTTTTTTACGTAGGTACATAATTTATCTGAGAACATTCCTTTTCCTTGCTTTTCTGTTATGAGGAAGTTGTAATATGATATTAAGCAATAATGCAAGGGTTTTGTAGTCCCTAACTTTTCACGGTCATTTTCCATTTTGAGTGGATGAAAAAAATTGTACATATTCATGAAGATCTTATAAATGTTCCTGCCGTCTCACTTTTTCGAAATTCGATTCGGTTCTTGAGAAAAAAAATTCTAAAATCATCAAAAAACACGTTATTTTGCGATTAGTTTTTATTAATTAATTTTTTATTTCTGTGTCATTTGCATTACATGTCATATAGAAACAAGTATATAATGTATCATAGTTTCAAAAATAAAAATGAAATGATACTCAGTCATATTGTCTAGTGATAATCCTCATCCTTATTATAAACTGTTAGCCATGAATGAGGATATAGTTGACAGTATTTTGCATCTGCATCGTTATCAAATAGATTCCCAAACTGATCGGATTGAGTGATCATCAATTAATCAGACAAAAAGTTGTTCTTCGGGGGGGGGTCAAAAAAGTGGTTGATGAAGAAGTGAAAATAATAGATAACATAGTGTATATACATTTATTTTGACCTCATTAGACGTGGTAGTTCTGTGTCCAAGCAATTTTGGGACACTCTCTATAGTTGTTTTGTTGGTGTATCATATGGAAAAAGATACAGAAATATCAATGATTCCTTATAGTACCGAAATTTCATTATTTTAATAATCTATTCTGCGTACCAGTTCACCACACCACATTTATATAAAATCCATTATTCCAGAAAACCAGAAATCGAAAAAAAAAGGTTTCTATAGGTAGGTAGGCATCAGAGAGAGTATTTTCGCCAACTTGATTTATAATGTTCCAATAGATGGAAGGTTTTGTCGGAACACAAAACTGTATTTGTTATGTTCACTTGGTATAACCCATAGCGACCCGTATTGATAAACGGTCATATAGTGATTGGTATTCAGTTTTTAGTCGCTCTTTGCACTTTGGATTCCGAAATTTACTATCACGATAATTCATTTTCGCACGCCGCTGTCGTTTGAGGAAATAGCACAGTCTATCGTTACCGTTTCCCTTCCCCTCAACCCGCTTGCCTACATCTCTAAGACTTCAAAACATTATATGCTGAAAGTATTGAGTTACTGTGTCCTTCTTTTTTATACGTCCATGGCCTATACACTGTGACCAAGATAAGAATGAACAGCATGGGGATCTCGGAATCGGTAGAAGATACGAATTCTGTTAAATTAGAGAAAAGTAGTGCATTTATGTGCCTAACGATATGTTATTTACAAAGTTTTGATATTTAATAATGAGCAGTTCCGGAGATATCCGAGAAAAACCGAAATTTGAGAATTTCGTTATTATTTTCTCCTAGTTTTATTTTTGAAGGAAATGTAAAACGAAAAGCAGTTTGCTATGGCCACTTTTTGAGGACTTCATGATTACGTGAGCAGATTTTTTCTGCTACGTTTCGTCTTTTAGAAAACATCATCAACTTTGTATTTTTATATGGGCCTCAACTAAAGTATACCCTGTATACGACTACATATTTCATTGTGAATACATGTGAATAATGTTCTTCTGTCATAATAATACTGTAGTTTGGTAATATTTTTGACATATTACCGTTCCTACTTTAACATCTTGTCACTTACCCAGATTGTGTTGAAAATGAGAAACGGTAGCTTTTAGAATATTGAAAAATATGCGTATTTATCACAGTTTCTAAAATCAGAGGAGATTTGTTTTCATATAAAAGAACTGTATCGCCTGCATATATGGTATAATTACTCGCTAAAACAACTTTCGTGATATTTCGAATATAAAGCAGATACATTTGTTACTTGAAAATCCGCAAGAGGGCGTATCGCTTATTTTGAATCGCCTATTATAATTTCTGTGGAGCTAACGCCTACTGTCGGTACATCGAGTGCATGACACTAAAAATCTCACAGGAAATCCAGGCTCCACTCCCTACAACAACATCTACGTGCGTGAAGAGATCCACAAACACGGCACCCACAATCACCACCACCGACACCACGAAAGCGACGCCTCCTCCTCCTCCTCATCGTCGGACACTTTTTCTGACGCTAGCAGCACCGCCTCGACGGCCTCCACCGAAGAGGCGACAGACGAGCGCGAGCCGAACGTCGCCGACGGCAAACCGAAGGTTGACGACGACAAGCCGAAAGTCTACGAGCGCGAGCCGAACGTAAACGATGGCGTGCCGAACGTCGAAGATGGTGCCCGAAGTGCTGCGGACGCGAGGAAAGCGATAGGTGGCGTTGGGGATGCGAATGATGAGACAGGTGACGCGTCGGGAAGGTCGGATGAGGTGCAACTATTTGGGGATGAAGATGTCGAGAACGTTGGGGAGCAGGGTGAGTTTAGGTAGTTGATATGAACAATATTTTGATCTGAATATTAGAATGAAAAAGGAACGTTTGAAACACACTGCCCAATCTTTGTGTTCTGTCCATATTATATATAGGTCTAAGGTCTAAGAATTATAATAATCCCCTGATTTTTGTATTGACCCTTCTCAGTAACAACAGATGTTCAGGTTGGCAAACTGGATGTTCATTTCCAATTGAAGAGTGGAAGTAACAAAGGTGCTAAGTGCCATAATTTCATGAATCGAGATATTGCCGTAGAACATCGTTGAACGACATGCTTTATGACCTGACAAAAGCTGTGCCATGAGTAATATTATCGTTTCAACAACAACAACTAGATGAAGCCAGCGGTAAGCGACAACGGTTATTTGCCATCAAAAGGGGCAAGTACCACAGTGAATTGCTGTATTGTCGAATCATTAGACACCTCATTCTTTTGTCATTTTTTTTATTATTGAGAACAATGTCAGTTCGACTATTGCCTATATCCTTATTTTCAAATTTGAAAAACTCCAAATTATATCAGCAATACTTCTTGATCCTATTTTGTAAAAATAAAATTTGGCACTTCGTTTATATATTTTTTAAGAAATGATTTTTATTTTCAGCTGTGTTTCATAACAAATATCGGTGCTAATTGGAATTGGTTTTCCGTTGACCTTTCAAACGATTTTTGATTCTAATGAACGAAAAAAACAAATATTGACGGTTTTATTACTTTTTTCTTAAATATCTCGAAACTTCATTTTTGGCACTTAGCACCTTTGTTACTTCCACTCTTCAATTTACCATATTCTTCTCCAGAATTTAGTTGTGAATAGCATATTTTATCTATATCAACTGAACAGGAAGCACTGTCATTGTCATCGTTCAGAAGAATGCAAGCAGATTCCTTGATTTCCTTCTTTCAGTTCTTATCTTCTCTTTCTATGATTTTTATGTTATTCTACGCTGTCATATATCTCTCTAATGAGGAAGTTTCCAATATTGACTTTCTTATCTGACTGTGGAGTTTGTATAAATTCAATTTAACGACAAAGAGACATTACTTGTCAGTCATTATTTTGCAAACAAATTTGTTCCTTTATAAAACTGATCTATTTTCTAGGAAAGGTGCAGATTATATCTTGCAACAATGTTTATTACTTTGAGCCCTTCGACACCACACAAAATACTGACAGGCACTCCGGAAGCTGATCTGATTTTGTGGCTATGTATGTTATTGTTTACCAGTTTCATTTGTGTCGGTTTTCAATCTCCAGTTATTCATTAGCCCATGTCTACAGTTTATAGTTGTTTTCTTAGTTAGTTGATCATGGTTATTTTCCATTGTATGATCAAAACGACTCCAAGTTGTCTTCTTCTATAATTATTATTTGTTTTTCATTTGTTATGTATTTACTAGTTATATTGTTCATCATCAGCTATATTCATACTAGATTCAGAATGAGAAATCATAGTTTGCCGCCGGAAAATTGAAAATTGCCTCATTGTAAACATGAAAACGACTCGGACTTTATCGATCGCCATTCTGTACAGCGTGGACCCACATATGGGGTTCAGCACCAAAACATACACTGATGCTCTTAGATTCCATCCAGAGAAGAGCCATTCGCCTGGTGGGTGACGCCACACTCACTCACTCTTTGACATCATTGGAACACCGTAGAAAGATCGGCGACCTTTCACTTCTCTATCGATACTTCCACGGGAAATGTTCTTCGGAAATCTCTGCTATCATCCCTTCACTAGCAATACCAATCAGACGAACTAGACAAGCCCAGTCAGCACATCCTTTTGTTGTCAACCTCGAAAGATGTCGAACAGCACTTTATCAAAACTCCTTCATCCATAGAACGGCTAGGCTCTGGAATTCATTGCCTGAGGAAGTATTCCCAACAACATGTAATCTCCAGAAGTTCAAAAAAAAAATTCCAATAGCTACCTCCTGTCCCTATCCTCCCTAGGAACGCACGATGTTCTTCTTGCGCTCCAAGCGATAAAAAAAAACATAAAACTGAGGAGTTCCGAACTTATGTTATGAAAGTTCATCTGAAGGAAACTGACTCAATCACCGTTGAGTGTTACGTTGGAAAATCAAAATACAAAAACCAACTTTTCATGATACTTTGGATCTTGCAGATGCCGATCGAGCAGAGAATTCCGATGTGCCCCCCGAGAGCGAAGAGATAACGGAAGACCCGGAATCGGAATCCGTCACCCTAACCTGTTCCGGTGACTATCCGCTGGACGACGTCGGGACGCAATGGCTAGGCAAACGGGCGCCCCACTGGATACCCGACGCCGACGCCACCAGCTGTCTACATTGTGACATGAAATTCACGGTGTTGAAGAGGCGGCATCACTGTAGAGCGTGCGGACTGGTGAGTGAATATGACTATATGACTTTTTACGGCGATTGTTTAGGATTCAGGGAAGGTAATGTAAGGTGGCGCAAAATCGAGGAAAACAAAGATCCTTCAGGCCGCAGTAGTAGTTTGTGTACTATTATTTCAGTGGATGTATGTGATTTAATTGGTGCATCGCAAATAAGTACTACTAATATAATGGTACTCCAAGGTAGCATCACAGGTCCAATTCTTATTATAGTCTATCTTAACGATGATAATGAATAACGATTATGAATATAACAACCTCCTTGAGTTTTTATTACTCAAACTGAACTCCATTCAGGAGAACCATGCAACAGCTGAAATCATAATCATGGGAGACTTCAATGTACACAACGCAGCCTGGCTCAAATTCTTTAACAAAACAGATAATGCAGGTCGTCAAACTGAGGCCTTCGTCATCACTCATGGTCTAGAACAACTAGTCGAACTACCAACTCGCATTCCAGATGTCAGCAACCAGTTTGCCAATACACTAGATCTTTTTCTCACCAGCAATCCTGATCCATATAGGATAGAACTTTGTGCCCCACTTGGAAACTCTGACCACTCCCTCACCTTCACAACCTGCTCTTTCCATGTACCATCCAGCACCACAACTCCTGCCCGTCTCATGTGGCATCACAATTCGGCTGGGAAGGTCTTCGTATATTTTTTTCAGCGTTTCCATGGAAGAGTTTGTTTCTCCTCAGCAAATCCCACACGATGTGCTGAGACAATTTCTGAAATCATCATGTTGGGGATGCAAACCTACATACCGAACACTGCAAGGAGAACATCTTCCGATAAGGCCTGGTTCAGTAGAAACTGCTCTAGAGGTGTCGCTTCCAAACAGGCAGCATTTCATCCATGGCAAAAAATTCCAGGCCCTGAGACTAGAGTAGAATATGTCGAGACTAGAAGCATATGCAATGAGACAATTTGATCATCAAAGGATGATTATAATGCCAAAATAAGATCAAAACTTGTGAATGTCCTAACGGATCCCGTTCATTTTGGTCCTTCGCCAAAGCTGTAGGAAGAAACTTCACTTCCAGCTCGTTTCCTCCTCTAACCAAGGAAGATGAAATACTAGCCACAGCTGCCCAGGAGAAAGCCAACATTTTTGAGCATTTATTTGCTGAAAATTCCACTCTGGAGTCATCGGGAAAACATCCTCCAAACATAACGCCAATTGACAGTCATATGCCCGAGATCACCTTTCGCCAACGTACTATAAGGAAGATTTTATTGGGTCTCAACACCAACAAAGCTTGTGGCTCCGACGGTATCCCACCGATTGTTCTCAAGAAATATGCTCCCGAACTAACACCTATTCTCTGCAAGTTGTTCAACTGCTCTATCTATCTGCTATCTATTATTTCAAAGATCATGGAGAAAGCTATCAACATCGAGCTCATGATGCAAATGTATGGAATAAATTCATATCAAAACAAGACGACTTCCGAAAAAAATCCAAAAAGTAGAGTTCAGAACTTTTTTATCGATGTATTTTTTCAACTAGACGACTCTTCGATGTTCAATTCTCAGTAGAAGATCTCTGCAAGATTCAGTTAACCAAATGATAATCTTATTTAATTTCAATCTTCTTTTGCAAAATTGACTATTGGATAGACGATCAGTAGACCTTTCAAACGAGATGTCACATGACCCCTGTTTGTATTTAAGAAAACCGTCCATTACGTCATTACTCCAACACCGGTGACGTAACATCTCTCATATGAATGTCATGAGATGAGGTTTCAAAAATTAAAACTCACGTGTTTTCGGAATTTCTTCAAATGTCGCCCATTTCTGAAATAATGAATTTATTCCATACATTTGCATCATACTGTATATGGCAGCAATCTATTGAGAAATATGGTGAAACCTTAGCCGTGGCAGTTGATATCTCCAAGGCATTCGATCGAGTCTGGCACCACGGACTCCTCACCAAGCTCCCATCTTATGGCTTGCCTTCCTAGCTATGTTCTCTGCTAGCTAATTTTATCTCAAACAGGTCTCTCCATGTAGTGGTCGACGGAGTTTTATCTGACTCTCTTATCATAAATGCAAATGCATTAATGCATAAATGCCGCAAGGATCAATTCTAGCACCGACACTATTTCTACTCCATATCAACGATTTGTTGGAAGCAACTTCATGTCCAGTACACAGCTTCGCGGATGATAGTAGAAACGAACGGGGGAGAAATGTTGACAACATAAATATGGACTTGGCAACAATTCTCGAATGCAATAACTTGGTAGATTTCATTGCAAACAAAACACAAGCATGCCTTTTCTCTAGAAAAGCCGATCTCACTGTGCCCAATATATGCTTATCTGGAGTAACCATACCTTTGAAGACATCCATTTCGATGTTTGGTATTACTATCAGCGATAACCTTCCTTGGGAAAATCACGTGAGATTAATTGCTTAAAGTGCATCCCAAAAACTTGGTTTCCTGTTTCGGACCAGGAGCTTTTTCACTTCCATTCAGCTGCTTATGATCTATAAGGCACAGATCCGACCTGTCCTGGAGAACTGTTCCCATATTTGGAGTGCAGCACCTAAACATACCCTGAAACTGTTGGATTCTGTCGTGGGTGATGCCTCGCTCACAAACTCTCTCACTTCTCTGGAACACCGTAGAAAAGTTGGCGATCTGGCTCTATTTTACAGATATTTTCATGGACGATGCTCTTCGAGTTGAGGCTTCACACCCCTTCGTGGTCACTTTGGAGACCTGCAGAACATCTCTTTCCAAAGACTTGTTCATCCAACGAACAGCGAGGCTCTGGAACACATTGCCAAGGGAGGTGTTTCCCGAGGCATATAACCTCCATAAATTCAAGAACGCCAATTCCTGCCTTATTTACCTTGGTTCTCACGATGTTATCTGAACATTACAGGATTTCCCTTTTCGAGGGAACCAGAACATAAAAGAAAGGACAGGGGCCTGCCAATTTTCAGAAGATTTGATCCCTAATTTTAGTCACAATTTCAGAGTATCTTTTTTCTTTATTTAACTTACAGTGGCTGTAGCTTGAAGGAGGTGAATTTTAGGACACATGTTTGTATGAAGAAAAATTCTTAATTTGTTCCCAACAATATGTCCTTTGAATATTTACATCGAATTTTGAATCACCATGTATAATCAGCTAGATATCTTCCAATGCTCTATTTCTGTGATTTAATCTTTTTATCCCAGCTTCGTTCTTGCCAAAGTTTATATAGTTCTCAAACTATAAAAATCTGTATCAGCAGTTATACTTATTTCCCTGTTCTGTAGTTGGGTCTAACCTGTCGAACACTGAGGCAATAAATAAAATAAAAATTAATAAAATGAATAAAATTATGAATCCATTACTAAGTACTCACCAAATAGTTTCACAACTTCACCAGGTGGCGTCTAGACTTTTAAATAAGCGAACGAGAAAGTTGGTAATAAAAAATTTCCAAGAATGTAATCACAGTTTTAGTAACAATTGTTCCATAATTATTATTCGATTCTTCACAGCGGCCCTACCGACAACTGTTCAATCTTCCGTTTTGTGTTATTTCCAGGTGTTGTGTTCCAAGTGCTGCCACCTCAGATTCAAGCTGGACTATCTGGACGCGGAGGCCAGAGTGTGCAACAAATGCCACGGCATTCTGAACCGCGACTCCGGCAGCAGTTCCGGCTCCGAGAGGTCGCCGGAAAACGGTAATTCGCCCCAGCATCGACCGAACCCGAACAACCCTTCGGAATATTGTTCGACGGTGTCGCCCTTGGAGCAGGCTGCCGGCGGCAATGCGAATCCCCCCGCCGTGATGGTGCCTGTCGGGGTGTTGAAACGTAAAGGTAAAATCCTATTTCTTTACAATAGATTAGAGTCACTACTGGATGGTATTAGTTTTGTAAGAGGTCAGACACAGAAATGACAACTGTTAGTGTGTTTAAATGTTAAGATTCATTAAGTTACACACATTGCATTGGGACAAGAGCACCATAGTCATCCCGCATTTTTTCATACAATTTTTTTTTTATTTGATTATAAATTCCCTATCAATCCTTGAAAGGTGAAAATAAGATCCTATTTCTTTTCCATAGACTAGAGTCACTGTATGGTGTTAGTTTGATAAGAGTTTTTTTTGCAATTGCTTACCTCGTTGGTCCCAGCTCTGGGACCAAACGCTCCATAAGTCGAAACTTGTGCGGGGTTAGGTATACATACAAACACAAACATCCATGGCCAAACTAGGATTCGAACCTATGTCTCGGTGGGAGTCCCCATACGAACTCAGCGCCTTCACGCTCTCGACCACCGAGCCGCCTAATTTGAATGTTTAGATTCATTAAGTCACACACACACACCTTGCATTGTGACAAACAAAATTTTCGAATTTGATAAAAAATTCTCACGTAGACATAAATTTAAGTTAACACTTCGAAATTGTACGACTGTTCAAGTGAATAAAAAGAACTCAAGAAGAATCCCAATCCCGTTCAATCCCAAGTATACGATGGGACTTGGTAAGGTTTTAAAAGACTTAGGTTTTGAAAGCGTTTATATCAGTCTGGGTCAAAATTAGGCAATTTATTAGGCAATCCGAAAGATGAAGTGGACCAACTTGAAAAGTCGGGAATATACGAAATAAGTTGTAATGACTGTGATGAAACATATTAAGGCCAAACCAGGCGACCCATAAAAACGAGGTTCAAAGAACACAGTACATTTGAAATATGGCAGGTTAGATGAGTCGTGTGTAGCCGAACATATGTTTAATCACAATCATAACACACATATTACTAACCTCAAATTAGTTAAGCAAGTTAATAATATTAGAAAATTCTGAGCAGTTATGGCTAGTGTTCCATTCTCCTTGGTTAGAGGAGGAAACGAGCTGGAAGTGAAGTTTCTTCCTACAGCTTTGGCGAAGGACCAAAATGAACGGGATCCGTTAGGATAGGACATTCAACAAGTTTTGATCTTATTTTGGCATTATGAGCATCCTTTGATGATCGAATTATCTCATTGCATATGCCCCTAGCCTCGACATATTCTGCTCTAGTCTCAGGGCCTGGATTTTTCTGCCATTGATGGAATGCTTCCTGTTTGGAAGCGACAGCTCTAGAGCAGTTTCTACTGAACCAGGCCTTATCGGAAGATGTTCTCCTTGCAGTGTTCGGTCTGTAGGTTCGCATCCCCAACATAATGATTTCAGAAATTGTCTCAGCACATCGTGTAGTGTTGGATCTGCTGAGGAGAAACAAACTCTCTCCCATGGAAACGCTGAAAAAATGCCCATCGATGCGATTGTAATACAAAACACCTACACATCGTACTTACGGAAACAATTTTCCAAATCTAAAAAGTATATATTTCACTCTACAATAATGTTGAGCTTCAAACATGATGTGAATTGAATTACTACGGAAAATGCATTATACACGTAAATATTTGAGTCGAATCTCTCCATACAATTTGTATATTCATTCAAATAACTAGTAGTTATTCCATTTATAATGCGATCGTAATTATCAGACATACAAATTTTAGAGCCCCCCCCCCAGTATTTTCTAGTGCGCTGGTTGAATTGAATTGCTTCTGTGTGACCCCGGTACCCGCTGTAAAAACTCGTCAGTAACACTTGTTGGCGGGCCGCTTTTGATCTCCAAATAACAATCGTCCCGACTGGAGAAGGAAAATTTATACATTTAATTCTGTAAACTTTGGTATCAGTTTGATGAGAGTTCAGACACAGAAATGACAACTGTTAGTGTGTTTGAATGCATTGAATGCATTGGGGCAAGAGCACCATAGTGGTCCCGCGCTTTTTCATTAAAAATGTTTTGAATTTGATTATAAATTCCCGAACAACCCTTCGGAATATTGTTCGACGGTTTTGCCATTGTAGCAGGCTGCCGGTGGCAATGCGAATCCCCTCGCAGTGATGGTGCCTGTCGGGGTGTTGTGCAAGAATTGTTAACCATTATAAATCTGATTTCTGTTGTTGTTAGCTGATTTTAATTAAATTTGGATGTTTAGAGACTTCATCATGGGCGATTTTCAGTACAGTTTTGTGAGTTCAAGTGACACTCTATGATATGTTTTTTACGAATTCTCATAGTGTTTTTTGGTATCAGCTCAGACTATTGGTGAAGTGTCTTTTTTGTGTTTTTGGGCCAATATTAGTCTAAACGCCGCGAGCGTAAAGTGACACTTTCAGGCCTCAAAGGGTCACGACTGAGGTGCTCATGTTACTTTTTGCTTGCCTGAGCGTAAAAGTCACTTTTAGACTCACATTATCGGACGTAAAGTGCCACTTTTAGGCCCACGGGCTTAAGATAATGCTGAAACATACATACATTCATAGCACCTCTAGAATTTATTTTGTTCTGAGTAGAGGTTATATCGTTTGGCTTCAAGAGCTCATAACTTTTTTCAACGGGCATAACGGGCCTGGGACCAAGGAAGATTTTTTGTTCAGCATGATTCAATCTATCCGATTGATTGATTGCATTCTATTTGCACTTATTTCAATGCCACCCTGTATAAGATAGAATTTATTAGATTCCAAACTGTTCTTGCAGTGCTGTTGAAAAAATTATCATCATAGAATCTCTTCTCTTTTTCTCTCATCGTTTTCTTTTCTAATTTATTATTGAAATTGTATTGCTCTTTGAAATAATATTCACATTCCTTTTCTTTGTATGGAAATTATCACGTAACCTAATTAATTTGCTTAGATGATTATCAAACCATGGTTTAGAAACGCATCTGTATTTAATCATGATTGATATCAAACAGTTATGAAAAGTATTCAGTAGTTTCTCATACTCACTCTATTTTCACAATATTTCACCATAGACAAGATTTCAATATAAATGGTACGGTCCTTTCATAAGCATAGTGGCTTCCCGAGAATCCCTACGTCAACATGATTTCATCAATCTTCTATCAATATAGTTGTTAGTCTGAATTATTTTCTTCAAGGTTCAAATAAGGGGAAATCAAACAAGAGTGTGATGTTCTGTGATGGAATAAGGCCTGGAAGTGACTTAACGAATTTAGACAACGATTTCAATTATAATAATACAAAGACAAAGAAACTGGAAAAAAATAATACCTCAGCTGGAAAAATCAATAGGAATCTACCAATCATCGATTCAGAAACTAATACCTTCATCCCAAAGAATGAAAATAGTTTACCACCAATTGTAACAATTTCCAAAACAGGTGAGTGAAACATTCTGAAAAAATAAAAACTTCAACAACTAATTATAGGTGATCAATATTTTATAGAGTCAGTTTCGGTACTGTGAACCTCCATTTTTTATTTCAGTTTCAAATCGCTCTGAATTGTTTTGAAGGTTTTTTATTTATCAATGAAGGCCAGAATGAAGTTCACAGCCTACTATCTAAATCACTATCCGATTATTATTTCATCAAAAACGAATTCATAATAATGATAATAATAATAATAACATTTATTAATCCCAAGACACATACAATGTTTATAGAGGGAAACAACAACAAAAAAATCAAATATGCAATACAGTTCAATCAGAATTAATTGATTCAAGGGGAGAGTTAAATTGATGAAATATATTTCTTTAGTTCACACTTAAATTTTGTGACGAATCTAATAGATTTCATTCTGTTGGGTAGACTATTATAAATATTTATTCCACAAAAATACAATGATTTTTTCCCGAATTGGGTTTTTATTTTAACAGTTTTCAAATTTTCACTTTGTCTGGTGTGATGCTCATAAATTATCAAAACTAACAAACTGTATGAGATAGGCAAGAGAAATTGAACATAGTTAAATGTGAAAATGTCAAAGCTTTTCAAATGAGTAATACTACACAGGGTGTTCCATTTAAAAAAATGTTCAAGTCTTTTCTACTATTTCAACATTCTGTATTTTCTCATGAAAAAAAAAAAAGTTCCTGTCGGTAAAAAGGCACAATTTTCCAGATATAACATATGCTGATTGTTCCAATAATCCAGCGACAATTGAAATGCTAAAAAATGAAGAAGTAACCTTCGCCCTTCAGCTCAGTTTGTACGTTCACGTAAAAGTAATCGATATGAGTTGTTGTATCAACAAAATGGCATGGTGTTTTTCCACTGAAGGATTGATTAATGTCGGCCAGGATGAAATTGTATATTTGTTGGAGTACATTGACGAGGAATCCTTTGTTCCAAAAGATGTGTTTTACCATATCAACAATATTTATGTTGATGCTGTCAAAGGTGAGTCGAATTAAAAATATCATTGATGTGAATAAATGTACAGCTGAAAAGAAGATGAAAAAATATTTTCTCGTCGACCTTTAAAACAAATCACATTCTACGTTCTAATTTCCGAACGAAAAACCGACTATTTCCGAAGGCAAGTACCTTTCGTCCATAGACACTAACTTTTCGTAGATCTCCCGATTTGCATATTGATCTACTGATCTACTCTGAAACATTCCATAATCTACTGAAAAATGTTTGGAAACTTATTTATACTTATGATCACCTATATCATTACTAATCTTTAGTTAATCACATACACTTATAAACATGCATGCTATTTCGGCACGCTCTGTATAATAGTAATTTTCCTAACAAGTGCGGGAAAGACACTTTCCGCATGAGTTAGGAACAATATTTTTTCTACAAGCGTAGTAAATTGATTGATTTGTTCAATTAATTATTCATTCATATAGGAACAACTAGCAAGAGAGAGAAATATATTCTCTATCTACTGATTATTAGTAATAGCTATTGTGAACTTACTTACTTCTCGCATTATGTATAAGTTCATTGCGGAAGCCAGCAGGCCCATAAGGTGTTTGGTCTCTAGGTTTCAGACACTTCTAGGGAATGAGCCAAAAATACTTCTTCTTTATTCGGTATTTTCATTTCTTTATTGTTGCACCATTCAATAAAACGCGTGTATAGCTTCTCATACCTTTCTTAAGACTTCGTTGGCAATAACGCATCTGTATCGCATCCCTATAGCTGGAAGTGTTTGATCACATTGTGACAATTCCACTGAATCGAAAATGACAGTAACGCTGTGTCTGTCACTTCGACAATCACAAACTCATTTGAGGTTTGATTGGCATGACAACAATAATCGTTTCTCATCAGATCAATACAAATCTATAGGGGGATTTTTGAAATAATCAATTTTAATTTATCAATATTCCTTAATTTTCACAATAAATAGTGCAATTGATGAATAATTCTGAACATACATACTTAATACTGCAACAAACAAACTCAAACTTTCATATTCCATCACCTACCACTTATATTTTGCCATATTATCATATCTTTGTTCTTCCCTCAATGTTGCGGGAAAATGACAATCCCCAAACTAAATTCCGTGCGGGTATAGGGTGAATCACGCACGCTCGTAGAAAAATGAATTTTACAAAATGAGTAACAAATGTACATATAGGTACTAATGATATGTATATGTCGGCGTCAATTAGTGAAATTTGTCATTCCTTGAAATGCCTAGTCATTTCACGTATTGTCGGCAAACAGCGTAACAGAGTAACTTCCATTTTCAGCCGTTACTCTGTTTGCCGGAGGGTTGAGGAAGGAAAATATCCTTTCTGCATATGCATAAGAAGGGAGACTATTTTTCCGCCTAAATGAACCTTCTTCCTAGAAAGTATATTTCTCAGAAAATTACTTGAGAGAACAGAAGAGACTACTGCTTCTAAAAAACCCAAGCTGACTCGGCCTAAATGGATCTTCCTTTCGTCATTACAGGGAAAGCCTGAAACTATTATGCAAACGGTGTACGAAATTTAGAATTACGCTGTTTACTGGCAGTACGGAAAATGACTAGGCATTCCAGAGATTGACGGATGTCACTGTTTGACGCCGACATATAAAAACCAAAAAATGGCAATACTTTATCCCGATTCAGATCAAATTAAATTTTTCATATACCTCTGTTAGTTTGTTTCTTACGTTTAATTTTTTTAATTATTTTGTATTCTTCTTGTTCATTTTTGCTATTCGTTCCTGTTTTTTATGTACTCAAATATTATAAGTTCCTATGTAACTGTAATTTGTTATAAACTACTTCCCAGATGAAGTGGGACAGCCAAAAAATTGACTAATTTTGATAAGCTATAACTCGAACATTTCTTGGCCGATGTTGGATTTTCAACCAAAGGTAGAAAGCGTCATCCTTGGGCTATGCGTCATTGGCGTCGGGCTTTTATTTGTGCAAGTGTTTCTCTTTGTACAGAGTGTGAATCAAGAGCCCGACAAATTTCAAATTTTTGACTAATAATTTGAGAAATGTGAGGGACCCTAGAATCCTTTTTTAGATGTTGAGTGAATGGTTGGTCCGATACCTCGAGACGTCTATGAAATTTTTTCGATAAATTGCGTTGCTATGGAAAAATCACCATTTTATTAAATTTCATTTTAATTTCAAAATGTGGCCTCCTTTAGTTAAACAATAACGGCCAACATCTAAGCTGCAACAAGAGATATTTCTACTGGAGATAATTAACACCAGTGGCGCGCATAAAGGGTTTTATTATATTTAGAAACGAAAAATTCGTTTTTATTGAAAAAATTCAACAGTTTTATTGATCGTTACAGTTGGAGAATTGTCATATCTTTAATTAGCATGATGTTGACAAATTCAGAGGCGCGCAAAAAGGGTTTATGATATATAGAAAGAACAAAAACGTTTTTATTGAAAAAAATCAACAAGATTTTTTGCAATTTTTTCTGACAAAATTATCAAATTGTACGGCTCAAGAAACATCAGAAGCCAGCGAGTTACGTTCCTGAATTTTCTTTCATGAATAATGATACAAGAAAATTTTCACTGGGCAAACAAGGAACACCACTTGATGAAATTGTTAAACATTTTTCCATATCTAACTTTTTGAATCGCCATGAATGATAGATCCTCTTTGATACGCCAACGGATTACTTGGATGCCCACCTTGAATAAGTAAAACACAATGATAATGAGTCTGACATTTTAATTTGTCCACATTACAGAATCACCTTTTGCACGTCTCTGAATTTGTCGACATCATGCTAATTGAATGTATGGCAACTTTTTGAATGTAACGATCAATACAACTTTTTTTCAATTAAAACGAATTTTGCGTTTCTAAATATCATAAACCCCTTTTGCGCGCCACTGGTGTTAATTATCTTCAGTAGAAATATCCCTTGCTGCAGTTTAGATGTTGGCTGTTATTGTTCAACTAATAGAGGCCACATTTCAAAATAAAAATAGAATATCATAAAATTGCGATTTTTCCATAGCAACGTAATTTACCAAAAAAATTTCAAAGACGTCTCGAGGTATCGGACCAACCATTCACCCAACATCTGAAAGAGAATTCTAGGGTCCCTCACATTTCCTATTTCATTGGTAAAAAATTTGAAATTTTTCCGGCTCTTAATTCCCACTCTGTACAAAGGGAACGAATCGCAAAAATGAAAACCCGACGCCAATGACGCATAGCCCAAGGATGACGCTTCCTACCTTTGGTTGAAAATCCAACATCGACCAAGAAATGTTTGAGTTATAGCTTATCAAACTTAGTCAATTTTTTGGCTGTCCCACTTCATCTGGTAAGTAGTTTATTTGGGAGTATTCTTGAATTGAGAATTAGGAATATGATAATTTTTAATGAGAATGTGTGTCTATTTTGTTGATCGTATGTTACTTTTCTGGTTACTAAAAATACATAATGTTCCGACGTCATAGGTTCATTTCACTATCCTTTCTTGGAATTCTTATAGCATAAAATAGATCTCAAACAAATATATTGAAATCTACTTGATTTTTGACAAGGTATTTACTGATGGAATAAAAATCGAACTGGCAATCCTGGTCCGCGCAGAGAGTGAGTTGACAACAACTGTCATTTGCTGTTGTCAAATTAATTATTCACGAAATCTCATAGATGAATAGGACCGTGATGTGAATAAGAGTGTTTGAGGTCGACGAAAAAATTTAATATGCACCTCGGCGAAAAACTGTCTATTGTCTCGCCTGATTCGTAGTAGACAGTGTTTCGTCCTTGGTATATAAATAGCAATTTCTTGAATAAATAGGCAAAATTCATAAGGGACTTCTTGAGAAAGAAGATACAAAATGGCAGGATTTTGCTGATACTACCTTCAAAAAAATATTATTCGTCATAACCGTGTGTAGAAGTCCATAGTGCTCAAAGTGGAGTGGTGGTAATTGAAGAAATGAAAATCTCCAAGTGTAGATGACTTGGACATTTTCCTTCCTTCAATTATTATTCATCATGTTTTTATCCTGAGGGACTCATGTTCACTACCTATAGGAGGTGTTTCTGAAATTGGGGCAATAAATATAATGGATGATAGAAGACAAAAAAACTAAACAAAAAAAAAAAATTTTTGTCGAGAAAAATAAATTTTGGATTATATTGAGCTTCAAAGTTTGCCTGAAACGTTTGTAAATCATTGATCAGAGGTAATAGTCCAACCAAAGGGTGTTTTGACTTGTCATAAGTCTCATCAGTTGCACTGGCCTGCTGACAATCGATTCACGAAAGGTACCTCCATATATTATTGAACAAGTGGAAGCCCTGAGGGGGCAGAAGGACGATCTAGCCTTACGGAATTTCCCTAGAATCTCTTAGTCTTGAGATTCTAGGTTTATCACCATCTGTTAGTGGAACATTAAACCACTTTGAGAATTACAGGTGTTGCGATAGTGCGATAGGCTACAGAATTCTGACATGGTGTCTTTTCTGTAAGCATATATGTACGACTTACTCGCAGAGTATGATTGATGAATCTACCTATACACCTTTGCATTTAAGTCACTAGCTGGCTATGAAGGCTAGATCGTCCTTCTGCCCCTCAGGGCTTCGACTTGTTTAATGATAGTTTCATTATTTCTTATTTTATTTATTTCCCCAATTCCACAAAAAAACACATAATTTATAGATTGAATAAACTATGCTTAGAAGTCAAGCTGTTTGGACAGTGGTGTCTGTTTAACCTAGAAGGTAATAGGAGGAAATAGTAGTTTAAAAAGCTGAAGAAACTCCCTATTATAGATAGCCAAACTAAAAAGAAGTAAAAAATGAAATGATAAAAGTGTGTTGATAAATACACAACATAGGATTACGGAGGTGCAAATATTATCTATAAAAGGGTGTCTCTTCAGTTTTTCATTCTACCATTTATTCTCTATTTTTGAGTTCAACTAACTACAAAAGCTTTTTTTAGTATTCTTATAATATTTGTAAGTAACCAATTTTGATGATTGAATCATAATCTCCAAAAACCTCCAGATACCGATATTTGATAAAATCGGATCATGATTAAGAAACCCGTCCGCCATATTGAATTTTCCAATTTTGACAAAAGTACCCGTTATTTTCCCTAATTTGTAAAATGTCTTCCTGTTTTTTCATTTATAATAGGAGAAGAATAATTTCCAGGTACATCCGTGAAGGAATTGGGATTGTCATTACACAATTCAACAAACTTCTTGGATTCGAAAAACCATGCAGGTTTCGTATATATCCGTCCTTCCTTCCAGTGTTTAGAAAATGTGATAAAACCGAATGATCCGTTTCTAATAGGTATTTTAATACATCGTTGGGAAACGCCATGGGCCAAACTGTTTCCTTTACGATTGATATTGAGATTAGGAGCAGAATATAGGTGAGATCACTATTTGGTTTCTCTAGATTTTTCGGTATTTCAATACAGGGTGATTCATTGGAAAATGCGCATACAGTAGGCGTAGATGGAGGACACCGAGATGCTTCTGAATTATTTATATTTCATGGGTCTATCATTCTTGTTAACCAAGATACAGGGTGGTTTATTAGTTTTCCCCATTTTTCAATTAATCATAACTTATGAACCACCCTATACATTTTTTTGATATTCGGTTTGTATGTTCTTTGTCCACAGTGGTGACGATTGACATAATAAAAAAGTCTTATTCCTGGGCCGGCATTGAAAACATTTATAGATAGGTTTCGAGTCGACACAACACCCTGTATGTCAATCAAGCAACTCGGTGTCATCCATCTACCTTTACTTTATGCGCATTTCCCAATGAATATGTATAGCAAGGAAAAATCATGTGATTTGTCTCAAGATATAACCTTCAGAAATTTGAGAAGAACATCAATTCCTACTTTATTTCCATTGGTTCTCACGATGTTCTCTGAACATTACAGGATATCCCTTACGGTGGGAACCAGAACATAGGAAAAAAGATACTGAGTTTAGAAATTGCCACTATTAGACAGCTCAAAACAGACATTCAATGTATTGAGGGTAGCACCTCATTTGGATTTTTATAGAATGAATACACTTCAAACAGATTTAAAAAAACAAAAATGGAATTGAAATTATTTTTAATAAAACTAGTTAATGGGCTGATATGATATTAGTGCAATAAAGATAATTCATTTTATCATTATTATTATTATTATTATTAACTTGCCTAGCGTGGGGAATAATTCAGAGTACTAAATTGGTTCTCTAACATTTGGAGAAAAAAATATATACATAGGCGTGGGTGAAAATTTTTGTCGGTTACTCGACCGAAAAGATACATATAATAATGAAGAAGATGGAAAGCCCTAATTTCGAGTGACAATGGAAAATGAAAAAACTCTACCGCCCCCGCGTGAGAGTCGAACTCACAACCTCTGGGTTACATGCCCAACGCTCTGCCAACGGGTCGTCCGTCGATCAATCGGCAGGAAGGTCGAGTTCTCATCACACACCAAGCGGCAGAATCCTTCCAATTCCCGAAGTCACTCGAAATCATGCACTATACGAAGCATCGCTGGCAGGATGGTACTATACAGTCTCCATATTTGCCCGTTCGTCCTGTATAAATTGCTTGCGGACATTTCCGTATACAAGGAGAGACAATGCCAGAGGACGAACGGGGAAATATGGAGACTGTATAGTACCATCCTTTTTTTTATCGCTTGGAGCGCACGAAAGGGAATCCCTATAATGTTCAAAGAACATCGTGCGTTCCTAGGGAGGATAGGGACAGGAGGTAGGTATTGGAGTTTTTTTTTGAGCTTTTGTAGATTATATGTTGTTGGGAATACTTCCACAGGCAATGAATTCCAGAGCCTAGCCGTTCTATGGATGAAGGAGTCTTGATAAAGTGCTGTTCGACATCTTTCGAGGTTGACAACGAAAGGATGTGCTGACTGGGCTTGTCTAGTTCGTCTGATTGGTATTGCTAGTGAAGGGATGATAGCAGAGATTTCCGAAGAACATTTCCCGTGGAAGTATCGATAGAAAAGTGAAAGGTCGCCGACCTTTCTACGGTGTTCCAATGATGTCAAAGAGTGAGTGAGTGTGGCGTCACCCACCAGGCGAATGGCTCTTCTCTGGATGGAATCTAAGAGCATCAGCGTATGTTTTGGTGCTGAACCCCATATGTGGGAACAGTATTCTAGAACAGGCCGTATCTGCGCTTTGTAGATCATGAGAAGCTGTTGAGGTGTAAAGTAGCTTTTTGCACGGAACAAGAATCCGAGTTTTTGTGAAGCAGCTTTTGCGATGGATCTGACATGATTATCCCATGAAAGAGTGTTGCTGATGGAAATACCGAGCATAGATATGGTGGGCTTGGTGGGGATGGTGGAGCCAGACATAACAATATCGGGCATACTGAGTTCCGCCTTTTTAGAGAAAATGCAGGCTTGAGTTTTGGTGGCGTTGAATTCAACTGGGTTGTTTGTTCCCCAGGCTGTGATTTCAGCAAGGTCTTCATTGACAGCATTGACCTGCCTGCGCCGTGAGTTCTTAGTTTCCTGGGAAGAAATGAGAAATCTGGAAGAGAACGCAGCATGGGTACTATCATCTGCAAAGCTGTGGATGGGGCAAGTTGTTACTCCCAACAGATCATTGATATGAAGAAGGAATAATGTTTGTGCCAAAATTGATCCTTGTGGAACGCCGGAATTGATGGCAATGGTATCAGACGATACACCGTCCACCACCACGTGAAGCGATCTGCCTGAAAGAAAACTCGATAAGAGATGGCATAGCTGAGGTGGTAAGCCGTATGATGGTAGTTTGTGGAGGAGTCCTTCGTGCCAAACACGGTCGAATGCTTTCGATATGTCCAACGCGACAGCAATGCTTCGTATAGTGCATGATTTCGAGTGACTTCGGGAATTGGGAGGATTCTGCCGCTTGGTGTGTGATGAGTACTCGACGTCCCTGCTGATTGATCGCCGGATCTCCCGTTGGCTCAATTGGCAGAGCGTTGGGCATGTAACCCAGGGGTTGTGAGTTCGACTCTCACACGGGCGGTGGAGTTTTTTCATTTTCCATTGTCACTCGAAATTAGGGCTTTCCATCTTCTTCATTATATCATTATTAAAAAAATATATGTTCCACACGGCAGAAAATGTAGATTTACTGCCTTGGCTGAATATGACAAGTTATTATCGCAAGGGAATTTAAAAAACCGCCATGGAGACGAAACCAAATCGAGTGAGAGGTCATAATATGCCCTCTCTCCCGCAAGGGACCGAGGAAATATTCAATACTCGCTATTGAATCCTGAAAAAATATTATATACAGGGTGGCATTGAAATCAGTGCAAATATTGGACAAAAAAATTATAAAAAATTGAGTACGCCACTTCCTAGATATTGAAATCTTAATGACTCAGTCGTCCCCATGAAAATTTGACATCAGAATTGTTACAGCGTTGCCAGATTTTTTATGGGCGAATACCTATAATAATACCTAAAGTAATAGTCGAAAATAACTAATTGGAGATACCTACATAATGCTCATTGAACTGAGAGTTATGGCAAGAGACAATTCTATCTTTTTCTCATGATGTACTCACAGTAACCCATTTCAAGATATTTTGCTTGCACTGAACTGGGTTTCGAAAAATAAACTTATGACATTTATTGACTGATATAGAACATTTAGTTTCAACAAGTTCATACAAAATATATAGTATTTTTTTGTGTTCAAATGAATGAATGAGACAGTATCGATTTTTTTCTTCAACAGTTAGTCACTATTTTGAAATATCAATATTGTATAACCTGATATTTTATTTGCTCCACGAAAACAACAGTTTGTATGATATCGCTTTATTCAATATCACCAAAATCCAAAAATTAGTTGAGAAATTGGTGAAAAACTGACTCAAAGATTAACATGATTTCAAAATTCAATGGCCATAGTTTTTTCTTCAGGTAAATATTTGATAAGGCCGTTCTTATCCTGGCAATTCATTATTCGACTCCATTTTCTCATTGTAATATAAATTCGACATTTTCCACAACTTTGCATGTAATTTTCGTCTTCCACACTTTTTTTCGAAACCACACAGAGATTCTCGATTTTTGTGAAAAAAACTTCACTTTTGATTTGTCTGTTACCCACGATCATCTACGATTGTGTCCGAACCGGAAAAAAAGGGAAGATACTGCGCATTCAAATCATCATGGACTTCATTACTGCTTCACATTATTGGGAACTGCAATATCCCTATTTTCTGTTCGAAGTGTGGACATTAGCTTACATTTACGTCTGTCTGGGCGACAATATCGTAACTGGACTTGACTTTTTTTAGGTACTATCCAAGTCCAATTATCTCATCGAGGCACAGAGACAGTGTTTTCGTCGAAGTAGGACACACCATAATTAATTTGTTGGCAGACTTCAGGAATTATTCTTACTCTCTGCCACAGATTAGAGGTTTGACGATCCATATGGAAGATAAAAATACCACTGTCACCATTCCAATGAACAGATATGATCAGGTATTTTGTCCAAGAACGTCACATTCTCCGGGAATAATAATAATAATAATAATCTTTATTATTCCCAAGAAACATATACAGTGTGTCCACCTTAAGGACTTACCACCCCTGTAAAATTGTTATTATCTGACCGATTTCAAAAAACTATTTTTTGTTGGATAGGTATTTGAAATGTCAATCCAACAAGAGAGTGATTTTACTCATGAACTGTAGTCGTGGCCAACTGCGGCCAACCATTGTCGATCTAAATGGAAACCTAGTTAGGTAGTTAGTAGGCGAGAGCATAATATTGTCTGTTCTTTGAAAAAATAAATGAAGGCGTTCAGTAGTACAGAGACATCAATGTGAACCAAGTATACTAAGTTATTCCTTTTTTATTCCTAACCCAAACATTTTTCATGGTCCTGTCAAGTTTGTAAATAAAAATCTGTCATGTTGAAACCCAAAAATGAAACATTATCATGAAAGATATTATCAAGTATGAAAACCATCTACCTATACTTGAATGGAAGCAGGGAGATGTTTAGGCAATGCTGTATTAGGTTGACTTATGATGCAACTTGAATTTAAGTTGGAACTGTGGAAACTTCGGAAACTCATCAGTGCTTTCACACTTTTTCGACATGCAAGCCAAGCAGAAAGGTAGGGGCTGCTTATTTCCTTCTATATTTTTGATAAGTTACTATATAATTCATGAAATTCCGTTATTTGCAGTGAAAACATGTCTTTAGTTATGTAAACTATGTACACATCGGATTCACTATACTTGAAAATTTCAGGTACCTACCTACAGCGAAGAGTACCTACATGAATAGCTTTTCAGTTGAAAAACGAAAAACTATGAGTGATACAAACAGATTGATGTGGAAGAATCGCATGAGGAATTATTATGTGAGTAATGTTTAGAAGAAATGTACCAGAAGGATGATGATGTTTGAGAACAGAATGGAAAATTTCCCATCTGAAATGAATATATAGAAGCAATAAGGTTAGACTCAATCTGTTTATTTCATCAATGTTTTATGGATATTCTGCTCCAAACTCAAAATATCAAGATGCTGGGATATTTAGAATTTTTTTTATTGGAAAATAACTTTTATATGTAGGAATGACAATACAATTATATTTTTTTAATAAATTGAATATAATTATGAAAAATTATTGCAATTTTTATTCTACTAATTTGTTCTCCTCTGATACCCTGTTTATTGTTGTACAGATTTATTGACAGGTAAGTTTGAAAACATTATATATTGTACCAAAGGTAAGTATTTAGGTTAAATATATGTTTTGCTGAACAATGATTATTTTTTATAAAATCATCTTATTGAAGCCACTAACTTCACTAAATATGAGAAGATGTGTCTATAATTGCCACAAATTAAACCATAGGAATATTCAATACCAATATGTATAACTTTTTAATTCATATTGTCAAAATTTTGAATAAACATTATTATTATTTATTATCATTCTATAATATCTGTTCAAATGCCCGTTTCCTCCTAAGATGCTTCCTCATCTTCAGGTCGTGTTCCTTAAGGAAGGAGTTTCTCTTCAGCATCATATTCCAAACTACATTGATGAGTCTGAAACTATAAAAATATTTGATATCTATTTTGTCCCCAGTTTCAATGTTCTGTACCATTCTGAAATGAATTCAATGACAATTGACTGGAACAATTTTTAGAGGTACCAAAGTCAAGTTCTTGGTAATTTTTATACTGAAACTTATAGTTCTAGTCAACTAGAAACTAATGAGCTGATTGCTACAAAAAGTTTGTATAGATAGGAACTTGTTAAATATCATTTTATTTATATATACCTTCCTTAAACAAACTTGGAACCGAACCCTCCTTCCAAAACCGTTTCCAATTCTTCATTGGCAAGAAACAGTTCCCTTAAAATGTTGGAAACATACAGTATCATGTTCGCTCACTTCAAAAACTCCCATTCCTGAAATATCAATGCATCAAGTTTCAAATATTATACGATTTAAGAAAAAAATTTCACCTTGCAATCCAATGAATATGGCATAAACTCATTGATGCCTCAGGATTTGAGGCTCAAATTCACAACAGTGGGGATAGGAGAAACCAGGTCTTGATAATTTTACACCTCCACCTCCTGGAGTGCGAAGTTTTCAGATAACATTGCAAAATAACACAATCGCACTCACAAACCAATCAACAAACTGCAATAAAAAACTAACACTACAAGAAACAATTAGGAATAATTGTAATTTTCAAGAATACGAATTCAAAGTTCAACATATTCACAAAGACGAAATTATAAGTGAATGACAACTGTCAGAAAATAATTTTTTGATTATGACATCTCAACCTCATGAAAGAATCTTCTTCATCGCCTTTGTATCGAATATCACGTCAATGATGGAAAGCACATCTGTGGTTGATTAACATATTGGAAAAAAATAGAAGAAGACAATATCAACCTAATATGGTCTATTTTGACATAAACAAATGAGCTTTTTCCATTTTCAGGATGCCAGCGCCACTTGACAGGCAGACAGATTTTGATTCAAAGAACAGACAATATTGTACCTCCTCGCGTACTAGGTCGCCTACTAGGTTTTCATTTAGATCGACAATGGGCCAACTTTATTGACCCATATTTGAGAAAGTACTATTAGGGATTTTTTTTCACAAAAAACAATGATGGATTCTGAATCACATCACTTGATAAACACCTTTACTGATTTTTATCATCATAAAGCACAGGGTGTCCGAAAAAACAAATTATGTTTTTTTTAATAGGTGATCAGAAAATGTAGTATTGTGGCATTTTTGAGAAGAATTGATGACACATTATTATTGAGGATCACTTTGAACATATTTGTACCAATTTTCATCATTCAAAAATACGATGTGTATGAAAAAACCATTAAAAAGGAAAAGTAGGCAATATTTTTTCATCAACTCAAAAAACATATTAATTTGATTTTTCGAACACCCTGTGTTTAATGATGATGAAAATCGGTACAGGTATGTTCCAAGTGATCGTGATTCATCTTTTTATTTTGAGTGAAGAATTATCAGGATGACAAATATTGCTTTCCTATCCTTTTTAATTTTTTTCTCAGACACATTGTATATTCAAATGACGAAAATTGGTACAGGTATATTTAAAATAATCCTCAATGAAAATTTGTGATTATTTCTTTCTAGAAAAACCACAAAACTACATTTGCTGATCACCTATTTGAAGAAAATGATGATTCGTTTTCTCGGACACCATGTGTTTTATGATAATGAAAATCGGAACAGATATATTTCAAGTGGTACTGATTCAAAATCCATCATCAAGTTTCGTGGAAAAAAATCCCTGATAGTACTTTCTGGAATATGGGTCATTGAAATTTGTTGCAGTTGGCCATGATAACAGTCCAAGAATTAGATCACTTTCTCGTTGGATGGACATTTCAAATACCTATCCAACAAAAAAAGGTTTTTTGAAATTGGTCGGTTAATAACGATTTTACAGGGGTGGTAAGTCCTTAAGGTGGACACACTGTATGTTTATAGCAGGAAAAATTATGAAAGAGCAACTAAAAAAAATTAAATCAGATGGTCATTTCTAAATCATATACATAGTACAGGGTGACTCACCATAAATGTCCCCCCCTCTAGCTCAGTTATTTTTGAACCGATTTCAGAATTTAGAATATTATCTTGAATGATTTTTGATAAAGTTGTTTTTCCGCTACATGGGGAAATACAGGGTGCTCGGAACAAACGATCTAATGGGTACTATTTGATTTTTTTAAATGTCCCCCCCTCTAGCTCAGTTATTTTTGAACCGATTTCAGAATTTGGAATATTATCTCAAATGATTTTTGATAAAGTTTTTTTCCGCTACATGAGAAAATACAGGGTGCTCGGAACAATCGATCTACAGGGTACTATTTGATTTTTTTTAGAGTGAAGTTGTAAAATCTCGATTTTGAACACCCTTTATCTCTGTAATCATTCCCGCTAGACCCCGAGTGTGATGTATCGATGAAATCAGCTCTTCAGGAAAATTCTAAAAATACAATGAAATATAGTGTGTTCCATTTGAAAAAATCAAGTAGTACTCTGTAGATCGTTTGTTCCGAGCACCTCGTATTTTCTGATGCAATGGAAAAAAATTCTGAAAAATCATTTTAGATTATTTTTAAAATTTTCAAATCGGTTCAAAAATAAGTGAGCTAGAGGGGGGGACATTCATGGGGAATCACCCTATACATATAATGTTGTTCCTTCCAGACTATTGAATATAAGTTCTTGAATTGATTTAGGATGATGTAAGAGAATCAAAGAAATAAGTATTTATTTGAATGTTTATAATTACATTCGACGGAATGGATGAAATATAATATTTTGGATTTGTAAATGGAGTTAATATCTAACATTTGCCTAGGTTTATGATGATTTCTTGTTGGTTCCAAGTAATCTAGTTTGTATATACATTTAACAACTTTGTTTTTGAGGATTTTGATTGGCTTTATAATTGTTAACCTAGCTGTACCCCCCAACTGGAATAAAGTTTTGTAATTTTGAATAAACCTAGGAAAAATATATACATTTTAAGTATTTCAAAGTGATTCGGTTTCTGATCCTGTAGAGTACTCTGATTACTGGAGATATTTTCTTTCTGATCGATTATATAGGAATCATTTCAGATGGTGTTTTTTTTTGTTTCAGGTGGTCAAATCTCTCAATAACACGAGTGATCACATTCTGGCATTTGCTGGTACTTTCAGCCAACTGGCAGACTCTCACTTGGTGTGCATACAGGATACACAAGGCAATGACAACTCCTATTCGACTCATGCCATCAACATTCACAATAAACCTAGAAAAAGTGAGTTTTTACAAACACTTGAACCGCATAATTGCATTTTTCTATAGATCACCAATTACTGTCGTTGTTTACATCTGGAACCGCCTTCATTATTTTGTAGGAGGGTGAGGTCTTTGAATGAAAATACGACACAAACACTGTAACACCCTATATTTAACTGAACCCGACTACTAGCTTACAAGACAAGTTGTTACTTGAACGGTACAAACAGGAATGAATCTATAATTCATAGATGGTTATATCATAGACGATAGCTCATCTCCTCTGACTCACTACCTTGTCATGCCTATGACTCGGCATCATCCTGCACGGCCATCCTGGTTTCATTCGTCCTCGAATGTCCATTTCCCCTGTAATGATAAAGGCATTAATTATTATAGGCTTTTTTTTTAAAAACATTGCCTTCTGAGGGCTGACATATGCCATCTTTGGGCTGATCATAATATGCCATTACAGGGCCGATATGCCATCAGAAGGCCGAACATAAGCCATCAGAAGGCCGAACGTATGCCATCAGAAGGCTGAACATATGCCATCTGAGGGCCGAACATATTCCATCTAAGGGCCGAACAAATGCCATCTAAGGGCTAACCTTTGCCGTCTGAGGGCCAACCTTTGCCATCTGAGGGCCAACCTTTTCACATACCGAATTATTCTGAATCTCGAAACGTTTCATCTGCTCCCCTACTACCACAGCTTCATAGGGGCGACTTGATCTTTCCGTATGACGATCTTCTTTTACTTTGTAATGGTCATTAGGAAGAACTTCTACCACTTTGAATGGACCTCGATACTTTGGAAGAAGCTTCTTGCTTTGATTGTTTGCAGGGGAGCTAGTAACTTTCGTTAATACTACATCACCAACTTCAAAATTTCTCGGAGGTCCCCTCTTTTTATTGAAGGCAGTTTGTTGTTTCGCTCTGTTATCGTCTAACCTTCTTGATGCTTCTGCTCTGATTTTAGTTATGTCGATTGGACAGGCTTCGTCACTGCTGAATTTATCGTTGCCTGTTCTCAATTGGTAGCCGAAATGTAATTCTGCAGGCGTGCTTTTTGTGATTCTGTGTTTGGTGCTGTTGATGCCTTGTTGAATTTGTACTAATTTCACATCCCAATTGGCAGAAGCTGTACTGGCCCCTGTTGTAACAAGAGCATCCAGAATTGTTTTGTTCATTCGCTCAGCTTGGCCGTTACTTCTTGGCATCCCAACCGCCGTTGTGAACAGTCTAAATCCTTTGTTCTCAGTGAACTTTCTCAACCGTTTTGATGTGAAAGCTTTTCCCGCATCGGTTATTATTCTCCTTGGGTTTCCCAGGAGTGAAAACAAGTCGTCTAGTTTTTCGACAACGTGTTTCGCTGAAGTGTCAGGAACTGCTTTGAGGTAGACAAATTTTGAAAATCCATCTACTATGACTAAAAGGTACTGATTTCCAACTTTCGTTTCACAAATGGCCCCAAGTGGTCCATGTGTAAAGTATGGTGTGGTCGAGCGTACTTGGGAAGAGAATGAAGATAGCTTGGCTTCGTTCCACTTAGATTTTTATGGTATAGACAGTGCAGACAAGACTGTATGTAAAAACATCTGAGGAGATCCATCTTACAGTGGAGTGAAGGCAATAAGACATGACAAAATTCTTACAGTCGACTCCACCAAAGCTATACTTTATTGTGAGCAATCTTACAGGGACATGTTTCGAAGCTTTAAAGCTTCATCATCAGCATTATTGTTACATAGGAGTACTAAAGTGAGAGAAAAAAGAACAATGTCAGACAAACCCCTTTAGACCTATCGTTGTTGAGCGAGTTGGAAATGTCATATTGACAATTTATGTAAGGGATTAGCTTCCACAACTTCTGCTATTCAGACACTGAAACATAATGTAGACAAAGATGTATTGATTGCTGTGTATTACACGAATTTTTATTCGTCCTTCTAGTTTGGGATTGCCATATGGAGTGGCAGTCGAGAGTTAGATAGAATTTTTGTAAGCCAAAAAAAGGCTATACGAGTAATTTTCGATATGAATGTTAGAGAATCATGTCGCGGAATCTTCAAGGCCCATAGTATTCTCACGGTTCCTGCTGTGTATGTATTAGAAACTATTAAATTTCTTATGAAACAGTCGCATCAGTTCAACTGTTATGAAAATAGCCACACTAGTCCAATAAATGAAGGAGGAAAAATAGGCAGAGTTAACGTTAATTACGCACTATTTTCATCTTCCGGTTGGAAGTAGCTTTTGGTACCTCATTAAACATGAGACAAAGTTTGACTGGAAAACGCGTGCGATGGCGGAGAAAATGGCCCCAATAGACCAGGAAAATAGGTTTTCAGCCAATATCTCCTAAAATATGACAGTTAGAGATTTTTGGTTCAGATAAAAATTGAAGTTCAGTTAATTTTCTACAAAAATGGTCCCTATCATTTTTCTCGAAAATTTGCCCGGTTTCGAGAAAAACGGCACGAAGCGCACCTCGAATAATGAGCTTCTGTTGTATGCCGGAGAGCACAGTCCGTGTATTTACACATCGGCGGGGGGACAAATTATTCAATAACTTTGTTAAAAATGCATATTTTCTTATGATTCAAAGTTCATGTGAAAGAGAAATTCTGCTGCTATCATACCCTGCGTGGCCGCATGGTTTGTAGCAGACGACCCGAGCGCCACGTAGAGCACACACGCGGCGAACGACGGAGGAACGAAAGTAATAAATTATAGCGTGTACATTTAGATATACTGGTTTTTTCCGGGGATATCAAAGGTATGACTTATATACATCGATGGAAAGGTGGGAATTCCCCCGTTTCACTAGTTAAGGTGTTTAAATGTTAGAAATAAAGAGCACGGAGAAAAAAACCACCGAAAAAAAGTACGTTTTTTCCTTGACCCCGCTTTTTCTAATTTTATTGAAAAATGGACGACTTTGTCTAAAAAAGTAATTGCACAATCGAATAGTAGACCTTCTTAGCTTTCAAATGATGTATCATAGAAACCAATCGGATCATGTATACATTTTTAATTGATGGTTGTTCACAAAATTTCCCCGCGCTCCAAAAACAGCAAAAAATTGGGATTCAATAAACAAAGATTAAATGAAAATTCAAAAAAATTAGGATATACAAATAACAGGGATGACAAAGGACCTTATGAGGACCCATAATCAAGAAAATTTTGAGTAAATTAGTGCAATACAAAAAAAATAGGAACAAATTCCTGGCGAGGTCAAAATTGACCGGGAGCAGAAAGTTTGACCCATGTTCCGATATGACCAAAAGAGTCAAGCGTGACTCAATTCACAGGGTATGATAGCAGCAGAATTCCTCTTTCACATGAACTTTGAATCATGAGAAAATATGCATTTTCAACAAAGTTATTGAATAATTTGTCCCCCCGCCGATGTGTAAATACACGAACTGTGCTCTCCGGCATACAACACAGAAGCTCATTATTCGAGGTGCGCTTCGTGCCGTTTTTCTCGAAACCGGGCAAAGCGAGAAAAATGATAAGGACCATTTTTGTAGAAAATTAACTGAACTTCAATTTTTATCTGAACCGAAAATCTCTAACTGCCATATTTTAGGAGATATTGGCTGAAAACCTATCTTTCTGGTCTTTTGGGGCCATTTTCTCCGCCATCGCACGCGTTTTCTAGTCAAACTATGTCTCAAGTTTAATGAGGTACCAAAAGCTACTTCCAACCGGAAGATGAAAATAGTGCGTAATTAATGTTAACTTTTTCCCTTCATTTATTGGACTACACTTATAATACTAGACATAAAGGTGATTATGCGTTTCCCAGGTACAACAGAAGTTCCACTGAAAGAGGTACAATGTACAGTTCACTTAAATTTTTTAACCGTCTGCCGCAAGCAATAAAAACGATTGAGCACATCAGCAGTTTCATGCGGTCATTGATATCATACTTGGTCGAGTTAGAGCACACGGTTAAGGATTACTTGGAATCCTAATTAGCGAGTTGAATGTCCAAAATAAATAATTTTATTATGTCTGTACTGAATGCATTTGTATAACTTTTGACTTGTTTCATAGACCAATCAATTTGTTATTCTCAAAATAAGGAATTGGAATCTAATGAAATCAATGAATTTCTATTCTATTCTAGGAAACGAGTTTTCGGCAAATAACTTTTGATACGATAAGAATGTCGATGGGGTTGTAAGAAGAAATAAAAGTTTGATTTTTATTCACGCATCGAATGACGAGAAAAGATACAGGGGCTCCAATTTCAAATAAGAAAAATATAGTACTTTGAAAATTAAGGAGTTTGCCACCAAATTTTGCACACCTTGTGATGATTCGTGTCAATCAAACTCGGTTAGCGATTCTCTTAGGCCTTATTCGATATGTATCTCTTATGATGAATATATCATTATGACGTCACACTTTTTTGGGATACCCTGTATGATCGAAAGTATTTTCCTGGTATGCACCCTATGAGACAATTGAGGTCTGCAAAATATCAAAATCCTGATTCAACTGATAACTGAGCTATTGAAGACGGGAATATGAAGAATTTGGAGATTTAATAAATATCATATTGGATGCAAAAAATCGATCATCTTTGAAAATGTACCTCAGAACACGTGAAAACAATGGGTGGATAAATAATAATATTATCAAGGAAATGGAAATAAGAAATATTAAATTCGAAAAACATAAACAAAATAATGATAATCCAGAATTCTTTAATGAATATAAAATACAAAGAAATAAAGTGAATGCTTTGATCAAACGAGCAAAGGCCCAAGTTCGAAGACTCTGAAGGCAACCCGAAGAAAATGTGGGATACAATGAATTATTGTCTTAGAGATGGATCAAGAACCAACAAGAAAAATCACATTGAATCAATAAAGGTTGATGATACAATTGTTAATAATGATTTGGAGATAGCTGAAATTATGAATAATCACTTTTCAAGTATTGGTGAAAAAATAGCAAAAGAAATAATCACATACTATAATAACATTCAACGTAAAAATATTAGTCCTGATTATAAAAACTCCACAATGATTTTATTTCCCACTGATGAAATGGAAGTTATTGAAATAATTCAATCTTTAAAGAAAACATGCTGAGATCCCGAAGGTTTAATAACTAAAGATATATTTTGGCCAATCCATTATCAAAATTAATCAATAAATGTTTTACCAGTGGTATATTTCCACAAGAATTGAAGCATGCTTCATTAAGACCAATTTACAAAAGTGAAGATACTCAAGATCCAGAAAATTATAGACCAATTGCCTTATTGAGCATTTTTTCCACGCATTGTAGATTTCATAAATAGAAAATATAGCTTTGACATGAATCAATTTGGTTTTCAAGAAAATAGTGGCACACAAGCGGCAATTTTACAAGTGATACAAGCAATACAAAAAGGACTTGATACCGGAAATTATGTGATAGCAATTTTTGTTGATCTCGAAAGCTTTCGATACAGTAGACCACATAACACTTTTGGAAAAATTATTATCAATGGGACTCAGAGGCATGATGAAAGGTTCCTTCTTTTAGATTCGTATCTTCAAAATAGGACAATCAGTACCAAATCTACCAACTCAGAGTCTCATAGACTACCGATGACTAAAGGTGTCCCTCAAGGATCTGTTTTAGGACCAATTTTATATTTATTATATATTCAAAATATAACGAAAATTGATACAGAATGTAATTACACTATTTATGCAGACGATACGGTACTTTTATATGAAAATAAAAATCCTATCATTTTAGAAAATATAATAAACAGAGACTCGATGAAATTTGAAAATTGGCTGCATTGAAACCTCTTATCAATAAGTACTGATAACACTGAATGTATGATTTTTCAACAAAAAAATAAACAAAATATAAATTTAAATCTCAGAATTAAAAATGAATCTTTGAAACGAACTAATGAGAAAAAGTATCTTGGGATTTGGTTTGATGATAAATTGAAGTGGGACGAACATATAAATGTTTTGAAGAAAAAAATATCTCCTATTATTGGAGCCCTGAGAAGATGTCCCAGACTGAATAAAAAAGTTGCAAATATAATTCTATATTCTCATATACTCAGTCGTATTAACTATTTGATAAATGTTTGGGGATACTGTTCAAAAAACAATTTTAATAACATATCTGCATTATATAAAAAGACATTGAAAGTACTGTATCGTTTACCATATGATACACCAACTAATCAATTATATAAAATAACTGAATCATTCTCATTAGAAGGAATGTTCAAAATTGAAAGACTGAAAATTACATACAACATCATAAATAAAAGATTGAAATCTAATTTTATTTTAACACAAAACAATGAAATCCATAATTACCAAACTAGACAACATGGTTTATTCCATCTTGATATGGCTAATTCTTCTATAGGCCAAAAAAGATTCACCCATGCTGCTCTCTTGGAATATAACAAATTACCAGATGATATAAAAAATTGCAGAAATACAATAAAATTCAAATACCAACTTAAAAAATTCATCATTTCTGAACGAAATAAATGTTTTTTTTTTAACTTTTCATTCATATTCAAATTGATTTTTGCTCACCAATATGAAATGATTTGTTATAATACTTAATATTTTAAAATATTATATCATTCATTAGTTTATCATAATTGTATAGTTTTAGGTATTATTGTTAACTATACTTCCTTATACCAGAACTTGATTCTGACTGGAAGTAACATTTTCAATAAATAAATAAAATAAATAAATAATAAATAAATGCAGGACCCTGTTGTGGAGGGGCCGTTTGAATTGAGACACGCTGTGCATAAATGAAAAGGTTCACTATCTTTTTCTTTTTTAGTTACCGGGGCAAGTTTCATAGTTTTCAATGGCGCTCTGAAATCGTCGAGCGGTCTCACGGCCAAATCGAACATCGTCGAGGACGGTCTGATGATTCAAGTGTTGCCGGAGCACATGCAGCAGATCAGAGACAAGTTGAGAGCGATGAAAAACCACACGATTTCGTGCGGCTGCGTCAATGCAGAGTCAGACGAGACCGTCAACATCGTGTGGGGAGAAAATGATGCCAATTTCAATATCGGGTAAGTGGACGCTATAATCGAATATATTTTCTAATGGAATTGGGGGTAGTGCACGCTAGTAGAATTTACGCTACATACCTATTTGATTGATTGATTGTCTCTATTACCCCAAGGTACATTATTGTTCATTGGTGATTCATTTTCTTTTCATTTCATTTCATTTTTTATTGCCAGAAAAATGAAAAATTCTACATTACATTACATTACATATTGAGTGGGTCAATACAGTAGATATTACATTTTCATAGTAACTGCAATACATGGGATAAAACGGATAAATACACTAATACCTACGCCGTTGTCCTTGATATTACTACTTGATAGTTTACAAGATATGGTTTTTTGTGAGTAAGCTTACCAAGTATATTATATATCATTATATCAATGAGAACTGTGCTATGTTATTCAAATCATATTATGTTTATTTTCATTCCATATATCTACTTATACTATATAAATCAATTGTTTTTAAACAATAAATACATTTACTGGCATCTTCACAAGGCAGCAATATACCTGTGTGTGATATATCATAATTATACAAGTAACTATGTAGAGAGGGTGAACAAGATTCAAAACGTGGAAAGAAGAAGATTATATATATTATAAAAGTATTAATATAATTTTAAAGGCCACCTTGAATATTTAGGTTGGTATGAGATTTATATTTAAACTATTACCTGATTGAAAAGATTTCCTTTACTCAATAATTTCAAATATTACTTGAACATCGATGCTGGTGAAGTATTTTGTTATTTTCTTAACAAACAGTGGAAAATTGTGAGGACTTGCAATAATGTCTTGAGGAATAATATTAATAATTTTAGATGCCATATACAGGAAAGATTTTTGAGTTGAAGTTTTTTTTGAGTGACTCATTTCAAGAAGAAAACTTCCCATGAACGTATGTCCTAAAAGTCTCAACTTTTGAGATATAGGGTGATGAAGTTTTGAAAAATATTCAGTATTTTGATAATAACTTGGACAATATTGTTTACATCTTTTTGAAATTTGGTTCACGTCTTTTATGCATCAAGGTGCATTTCCTGATGTACAAAAATTTTCATTTGCTCTACCAGTGGCACCGTTACGGCAAAATCATTGTTTACATTGTACTTAAAAGTGAGCTACTACGAAAAATTTTCAAATTTCATACAATGCTATGACTATGAATAGACTTCAAATTTTGATGTTTGAGTACTCCATTCAGAACATCCATTACTGGATAACCACCGTATGTAATATTTTGAAATTCGTATACCGATTCAGTCACATAGCAGACTGAATTTTGCCATCACGATAAAGCTATACAGGGTGGACAAAAAAATAATCTATGGATATTTTCAACATTAAAAGTTAGGACGTTTACAAGATATGTTCATATGAAGTTTTATTCTTGAAATGGGTCGAAGAATCGGCCCCTTGAATATTGGCATATCATTAAGGAACATCCTGTATAACATAATAAATCAGGACAATAATAATTGCAGAATTATAGTTAAAACATATACAGGGTGTCCCATAAGTAATGGAACAAAAGAAATGGGGTGGTAGGGGGGTCATTTGCAATAAAACTAACGGTATTTGTTGTTATCAAATTGTTGATGGTTCAAAATATATTGAATTATTCTGAAAAATGCGACCCATTCGAAATAATTGATTACAAAAAGTCTGTTTTGAATAACCCCATATGTTATACAATTTCGGAATCTGAATTAAATGGGCAACTTTTTCATATGATTGGTTATTTTTGTGGGGTTGTTTTCAAATCTGCCAGCGGCGTTTAAAAATCGGCTTAAATATTTCATTCGATGACAAAATTCAAGGAAAACAACATTTTTCTCAGGTAATTGATAAGAAGTAATACATGTCATAAAATCATTTCTGGTGAAAGGTGAATCCATGTGGATGAAATTTGTAAAAGAAAAAATCACAAATGTGACATAGATTTATTGTAATTAATTATTTGTATAGAAATGAAAGAACATTGATAGCTTTTGAACCATCAACAATTGTATAACCACAAACATGGTTAGTTTCATTTGAAATGACTCCCCCTACCACCCCACTTCTTTTGATCCTCGACTTATGGGACACCCTGTATATAAAATGAAAATTTCGTTATCCATTCCAAGTATTCAAATCGTGAATGATTATTAAATATCTATTTATTTACTGAGCAGATATATCTTTAAATTGATTTCAAATCTCTCTGCTTCTTTCATATTTTTCAACTCATTAGTGAGTTATATAAAATTATTCCACTATTGGAAATTGATTGTTCACCAAAATTTGACTATCGATAAATTAAGTTGCCTCGTTTCATGGGCGTGAATCGTATTAAATGCATTAAAATTCGAATTTGATATTTTTAATTCCTTCCTGACACGATGAATGAAACAACAAATTTTGAGTTTATATAATGAAACTAGATTCAGCAAGTCTTGAGATTTGTTTAGATTTACAGTTGATTCTAAAAAAGGTTAATTTAAAACTCATTTCATTCTTTTATTTTGTAATTTCATGAGTGGCTCCAAACGTGAATCTGTACTTCCCCAAATATTAGACATTGTAAATTTAAATAGATAAGGCAGAAATAAATATTTTTTTTGTATATCGAAGACTGGAACCTTTGGCACGATAATAAACTACACTGTTTTACCAATAACCAAATTGATTTTTAAAACGCCTCGACACGTGTTTCGCTATGTTACCATCTTCAGGTGAAGATTGAAACTAAATATCCTATTCTAGTGTGCTGCTCATATACTAGGTATATGTTCACCCAACCGTGAAAAATACTAACCGTCAAGTTAATGTTTGTCATGGTTGAGTTCACATGTTAATCTTAATTTTTATATTACTAACCTATGTAGAGGGCTATATGGAATAGGTCCATCATCCTTATTCATTACTCTATCACTATTCTTAAATATCTATAAGCTTTCATATGCACCTCTAGGTATCTAACAGGTATGAAATTTCGATCTTTATATATAAAAAAAAAACCGTTTATTGTCCAAACAGGTGAGGCACCCAATTACAGGACATGCAAATACAGAATAAACACAGTTCATAATAGATATAAGTAAATAGATATAGGATAATACATCAATTATTATTACCTTGAGTATTTAGTTAGTGGTAGAGGTTTCTTAAGTTACTTTTAAAACAGCCAATTTTAGTTGAATAGAGAGATTTTGCTAGGATATTTGTTCTTGGCGTTGTTAGATAAAAACATAATTCATTTCTGTTGTTCATACGAGGTACAAGAAAATTGAGCTGAGACAAAAGATCTGGACTATCAACAAAATAATGAGTGAGCTTATAAATAAATAGACACGAGTAATAATTTCTTCGGTCTTCCAACGAGATAAGTGAAAATCGGTTCAGTAATATAGAGTTATCAACACCCTGTTCTGGATATAACCCATCGATTTTGTATATCATATATTTCATGAATAATCTTTGTACTGATTCAAGGCTTTGCTTGTAAGTTGAATAAATAGGGGACCAAATCAGTGAGCCATACTCTAAGCGAGATCGCACATAAGTGTTGAATAGATTTATAAAACTGTCTTGACTCTCAAAATCTTTACAATTTCTGAATATCATACCTAGCATTCTTTTTGCTGATGATATGGCTTTGGTGATATGTGATAGGAACTGCAGTTTAGAATCAAAATAAATACCGAGATCTTTAGTTAGATCATGTTTTTCAAGGTTTTTACCGTCGATGTTGTACACAAATTCTATCAGGTTTATTTCAGATGTGTAGGTCGCTGAGTGACACTTTTTGATGTTGAGTGGTAAGTTATTCGCAGTGCACCAAGTGGCTACCTTGTCAATGTCATTTTGAAGTGTTTGACAGTCATTTATCGAATTAATGGGACGAAATAACTTCAGATCATCAGCAAAGAGACGAATCCTACTTGAAATATTTTGCGTAATATCGTTTATATACAGAGAAAACAGCAATGGAGCTAAATTCCTCCCCTGTGGAGCTCCACTACTGGCTATAAATGATTGCGACTTGTGACCTCTGTATTCAACATATAGTGAGCGACCTGTGAGATACGAGCTGAAAAAGTTCAACAAATCCTCATCAAATCCCAAGTTTCTCAGCTTTAAAATTAGTATTGTGTGATCCCTCTTGTCGAAGGCCTTTGAGAAATCTGTATATATCGTGTCAACTTGAGATAGAGCGTCGATAGCATCGCAGACCATTTATGTGAAACACATCAAGTTAGTGATGGTTGATCGTTTGTTTATGAATCCATGTTGTTCTAATACTATTTTGTTGTTCACTTTTGGGGACAATCTATTATATACACAGATATATGAACTACCTGCAATAGGATTCAGTTTTTTCCCCAAATTTGGGAAAAAAACTGAATCCTATTGTGACTGAACTGTGAAAACTCTCTTCTTCACATACCATTTACCTATACCAAATCTCAATTTGATACACCAAATGGTCTAGAAGTTATGACTTGTCTAATAGATTCGTTGACACCCGGTATAGAGAATTGAAAGACGTTAAATGATGGTCAAGGCACTCAGTTACATAATTTTACTTTTTTTTTTCAGAGTATCATCTACCATCGATAATATGTCGCTAAGTGGAATACCCTCCATTAGAGTACATAATGGAAAAAATCATGTCTGTGTTAATGGGAATAGAATTATAAGGTGGACTGAAGTTTTCATTATCCAAAATGGTGAAGAAAATGCTAAAAATCAGGAACCTGTGGATATATCAAGATTATCTGAAAATATCGCGAAGGCGACATGTGACGCTCTAGTCAAATATCTTGACCTTTTGTTGACCAACAATTTCCAGAAAATCGGCATTCGAACCACATTGCAGTCGGACAATGTAAGTAATTATAAAGGGTGTGTCCGAACGTTACCATCGATACAACAAGGCCTGCATGCTCCGTGGGTGACGTCACTTAGTGAGGCCTAACCAGCGGCTCGAAACGACAAGCGCTTATAGCGCTATAAGGCGACCGCGTATTTCGATTTTAGTTTTAGATCATCATTGAGCCGATTTTGCTGTTTTTTGAAGGGCTTCCGGTTAAAAAAGGATGCCAGTCGTCAACTGAGCCCTTCTTCGCACCCCATTCGATTTTATTATGGAAAAACGAAGTTTTAAAGCAAAAACTAGGATAAAACACAAATATCCACCTACAGCAACCCATTCGAATTAAATATATTGGCAAAAATTGTGGAGAAGGTAAACTTCACACCTACTCATACAGGGCCCGCAGAACATAAACTTATCGTGAGATTGATCGAAAGAAAATGTATTTTATTTTGATTGACATGCCGTTTGATACAATTACCTATATTTATCTTGGAGAATTCCTATCACCTGAAAAAATAACCAGTGAGTGTTTTCAATTTTCTGTTGTTGGATTTTTCACCCAAGTGGATCGTTACACTTCAAACCGTAATTTTTAAGGGTAAAACTGCATTTATCATGCGATGTTTTTTTTTGAAATTTTTTTTCGGTACTCACGTATTTTTGTCTGATAAACCGAATTTCATAATGAAAATGTGAACAAACCACTATTTATTGAGATATTTCAAGAAAAAGTTCGAAATTTCGCCTTCTTTCTCCCCTTGTGTTGGGGGCATTTGAAGCTACTTGCTCTTATTTTGTCATTGGACACTTTATATACTCATGATGTACTTCGATGGCACATTTTTATATAGAAAATTCAACAGGAAATATGATTTTAATGGCGAGTTTTTCATATTTAGTGAACAAGCATTCCAGATGACGACCATTTAATCAATAGTCAATCAAAATACGAGATGTCAAATGTCAATAGATTGCTTCCGAATGACATCACACACGCCATTATTTTGAATGATATTCTTCCTTCTTTTCACTAAATATGGATTAATCTCAAGAAAATCATATTTATAGTTGAATTATATTTAAATTGTCCAATATGATGAAAAAAGAAGGGAAATTTGTTCTAAATGCCATCCAGAAGACAGGTGAAAAAGAAGGTGAAATTTGGAACTTTTTTATCAAATATCTTCATGATAAATATCATGATGAATGCAGTTTTACCTTTTTAAGTAGAGTGTTTGTAGTTTATGTTAATATGATAGTTGCAATTGGATCATTGGAATGAATTCTGCATTCATTGCCACGAGGCAAATGACCGTTTTCAGAAAGAAATTTGAGAATGAGAATTAAAAATGCCCGTTCATTATGAAAATTCAAGAAAATTTCCTTGAATTCAGAGATGATTTTGTTGACTATAATATACGAATACAAAACTAACTGCACAATCAAAGCTTTTCTATTTTTCCTCTACTTATACTTTTTATGAGAGAGTAATTGTCTTCTATTATTAATTCATCATTATAAATTAAGCTCTGTTTACTACTGAACTAAGATGGAGTAAAATCCTCGCGGTGAATTGCATATACCCACATTTTCGATAGCTCCTCGTCCAACGGAAAACTAAAAGCTTGAACTTTTGAACCACCCACATAATTCCCCCGACAAAAGGGAACACATCACTTGAAAGGCATTGTTATTTCGCCGATCACAACACAAAATATTTCACAAAACAGTAATTTTTTATGAATAAACAACAAAAGAATTCGGGACCGTTTCAAAAACATACGTGAATCACCGATGAATTAACACGAACTGACGCGTTAGTCGACAAGCGATAAAATAAAACACTGGCCTCTCTTGGTGACGTCACGAGCTGTTTACGTCAGAGTCTGCTGGCCTTGTTGTATCGGTGGTAACGGTCCGAAACGGAACCCATAAATTAAGTGGGTGATAGAAGACGAAAAGACAAAACAAAAGGAATCTATTCTTGTCGAAAATAATAACGGCAAAGCTTTGGAATTCTTCGCCAAACTAAGTATTTGCCATAACTTATATCATGTTGAAAGTTGAAAAAACAATTTCCCTACTCTCCCGGTACGCACGATAAAAAAATGTTGAATCTCAGAAATTTCCTGGAATTTTTGTAAATCATTGATTTTAGGTTATTAGCCAAACCCGAGTGTTTGCTTTCGGCGAGGTCAGAAGCACTGGAAGTACAACGACTTCGATAGTGTTTCTTGCTGTTTACACTTCAACTAAAACGTGTTGTACCACCGAAATTAGCAAATAAAGTTCTTCTCCTAAGATCATCAACTTTTTGAGTCATACCTTTCGTGACACCCTATATACAGTCTGTCCAAGATAAGGTTGAACAGCATGGAGATCTCGAAAACTGTAGGAGATACGAAGTCGGTTAAATGGGAAAAAAGTTGCGCATTTGGAGGCTCATATCAAGAGCCTTCGAACATTTTTGAAATTATTTTTAGTTTTTTAGTTATATCGAAAAAAGTGAATTTTTGGAATATCTATTTCATTCTTTTCTCCGTTATTATTGGAGATACAGAAAAACTGAAAATACTTTTTCATAGCAACTTTTGATGACGTTTAACGTGGTTATACCGATTTTTTTATACGACGTTTCGTATCCGTAGAACCATCATCAACTTCTTTTTTTAAATACGGTCCTAATAATTTTTTCACAGATTCTGAAATGTTTTTTTATTCTGAATTCAACCATGTATTATACAAGGTGGTTTATGTGTGTTTCGACCTATTTCTATCCATCATCACTGTTTTTTCGAACTTCCAAAGGAAAAGTGCCATCAGTTCCATATATTTCTGATCATTTAGTGTCAAACATTGATGGATTAGTTATTCAATACTGAAAAGTGAATAAAAAATATTTCACTACATCATTCAATGCAGCGCTTGAAATTGTTGATGAATTCTTACACGAATTACTTTAACAACTTAACTTTGACAATACCTACAGAAACATTTATAACAACTGTTCAAAATGATAACCATTATTTTCTGAACAAAGATATCCTCTTTGCACAGTTGCTTCTAAGACATTACTAAGCATTTCTGTGGTTATTCTATTGAATGCTTCGATGACACTGTCCCTTAGTTCTTCTTCATCATCAAAGCTATTTGCGTGTACAAAGTTTTTGATATATCCCCTAAAAAAAATCCAGCTGTGTCAAATCAGGTGACCGCGCCGGCCAAGGGACTGCAGAATGAGTACCAATCCATTTTTCTGGATAAAAACGTACGAACTCTGGAATTATGTACCGGAGCGCCATCTTGTTGAAACCAACAGTTCTGAACTTCCGCAATCGGTAAATCATCCAGAGCTTCCTCAAGATGATTCTCAAGCAAATTTCTATAACGTTAGGCAGTCTGTGTTTCATGGTAAATAAAAGGACCAATAATTCGTGTACCAAATATCGCAACCCACATATTAAACGGTGTTGGTGTCTCGCTGTAATGTATAAGTGTTCATTTTCTCGTGAACAATAATGTGTATTTTTTCTACCGAAGATACCATGGTTAGTGGCCATGCTTTCATCAGTCCAGATGATTGTTCGCGGGAAATTTTCAAAATTTCGACATTTCCTGGTATACCACTCACAGAATGTCCTGCGCCTTTCGTCATCGCCTGATTTTAGCTTTTGACATATTTTGAATTTGTATGGATGGAATTTTTGTTTCAGCAAAATGAAATAGGTTGTTGATTGAAACCAGTTGATGAGGTATTAGTGTGTTGACTAATTTTCCTTCAATATAAGTGGAACTGATGACATTTTTCCTTTGGAATTTCGAAAAAACATTGATGATGGTTAAAAATAGGTCGAAACACACATAAACCACCTTGTATAATACATGGTTGAATTCAGAACAAAAAAACCTTTCAGAATCTGTGAAAACATTATCAGGAGCGTATTTAAAAAACAAAAGTTGATGATGGTTCTACGGATACGAAAGGTCGCATAGAAAAATTGGTATCACCACGTTAAACGTCATCAAAAGTCGCTATGAAAAAGTAGTTTTAGTTTTTCTGTATCTCTAATAATAACGCAGAAAAAAAATAGAATAGATATTCCAAAAATTCACTTTTTTCGATATAACTAAAAAACTAAGAATAAGTTTAAAAATTTTCGAAGGCTCTTGATATGAGCCTCCGAATGCGCAACTTTTTCCCCATTCAACCGACTCCGTATCTCCTAAAAATTACATTTCTTGGAAATGATTCATTCTACCATATGTTACAAATTAAATTAGAATTTGAGAAACTGTTAGAAAATTAGAGGAGACCAATCAAAACTTGAATAATAATAAATATTTTGACTCTTTTTTTTTTAGGTGTCCTATTGTGCTGGGAGTAACGGTGTGAAACTACCACCCATTTATATGAAAAGTCTGGACGAAGAACTGATTCCAGTTCTACACAGGTTAACCTCAAGTAACTTGAGTGAGAGTGCAATTATTTTAGAATTGATTTTCAGAATTTTGAACGTATAGCTGGTTCCGACGATATTTTGTTAGTACAATTTGAATATTCACGTTGGATTTTATATAGTGTGGATACTTTAACTGGAATTAATTCGTCAGCGGGGAAAGAATATTTCTTAAAATTCCCGGCAGCGATTTAACTAAATATACTGCACGCTAGCACAAACCACGCCCACCATAATACGTCATATCTCCAAACATTACCGATATACTCGGAGTCAGCACATCGCACTAAATATACTGTGCTCCAACGCAAGAATGCACTTTTTATGATTTTGACACGAATTCGACTGAAGCTCTCTCGTTGTCAATCTCTTTTACGCAGTAAATTCATACACCCAAATGGTCTACTGGTTAGCGCTGTCGACTTTCAGTCTGAAGGTCCATGGTTCGAATCGCTGTGAACTTGAACTTTTTTTTGCAACTTTTTTTTCCACCAATGTTTTTTAACTTCATTCTGGTTTTCCTTTTTCATAAAATATTTGAAGTCAAATAGGTTAGTTCGTTGAGGATAAATAGTCTCTGAGTTTTGCCTTAGTAAAGTACTTTGAAGATGAGATATAACGGTGGGCGTGGTATGTGCTAGCGTACAGTATATTTAGTAAAATCGTCTCCCGGCATACGTCTACGATTTAATGTATTTACCTACCTTTGCCAAGCAATATCGATAATATATTCCTTCAGAGGTAGCTGAAATCACCGTCAACATGATTTTTCCAAATGTTACCCTATGGCTTGTGACCCTTTCTGGGAAAGCTGGTGGAAAAAGGAATCCAGCGTACTAGTCCAATGTTGGTTTTTCATACGTTTAAAGGTTGCATAAAATCGAAATTTAATTTTAAAATTGAATTTTTTTCATCGTATCAATCGCTGAAAATTTGTGTTGAACAATGGCAATTCTTTGTCACAACTGATATCTGCTATTGTGTTCCAGTGTTTTCATAGAGCCGCAAATAGTAATTTTCCTAACAAGTGCGGAAAGTTTTTCTTTCCCGCACGCGACTGCCGTTGACACGAACGACGCGAAGCGGAGTTCGGGCAAGCAGACGAGTGCGGGAAAGACACTGTCCGCATGAGTTAGGAACAATATTTTTTCTACAAGCGTAGGAAATTGATTGATTCGTTCAATTAATTATTCATGCAAATAGGAACAGCTAACAAGAGAAATATATTCTCTTCTCTACTACTCTATCTACTAATTATTAGTAATAGCTATTGTGAACTTACAGTTTGACGCATTATGTTGGTTCATTGCGGAAGCCAGCAGGCCCATAAGGAGTTTGGTGTCTAGGTTTCAGACACTTCTATGAAATAAGCCAAAAATACCTATTCTTCATTCGGTATTTTCATTTCATTATTGTTGCACCATTCAATAAAACGCGTGTATACCTTTCTGGAGACTTCGTTGGTAATAACGCATCTGTATCGAATCCCTATAGCTAGAAGTTTTTGATCACATTGTGGCATTTCCACTGAATCGAAAATGACAGTAACGCTGTGTCTGTCACTTCGACAATTTCAAACTTATTTGAGGTTTGATTGATGGCATGACAACAATAATCGTTTTCCATCAGATCAATCCAAATCTATTGGGGGATTTTTACAATAATAAATTTTTATTTCTCAATACTTCTTAATTTCTACAATGAATAGTGCAATTCGATGGATGATTCTCAACATACTCAATACTGCAACAAACAAATTTAAACTTTTATATTCCATCACCAACCACTTAAATTATTTTTAATTTTATCATATCATAGGGTGAATCACGCACGCTTGTAGAAAAAAGAATTTTAGTTTTTTGCCCTATTCACAGTTTGAAACGAATTGTTATTGCAAACTGGTGGAAATGCCCTATATCACTGTCACTAAAAGTCTAAATTTTGATGAAAAACTTCGAAATATATTTTGATTTTATACGTCCCCCAAACGTAGTGCAAACTGACATATGATCATCTTTCAACAAGGTTTCTAATGAGGGGTCACAAGCCATAGGACTGCATTTGGAAAAAACATGGGGTTGATTCTAGGTACCTCTGAAGTTATATTTCCCATATTGCTCGCCAAATGTAGGTAAGTACATTCAAACGTTGACATGTCTCGCGAAATTTCTGAAAAATCATTTACTCCCGCAGCTGCGAATTTATTCAAGTTGAAGTCTCCACCCTGTATAAATTGATGATATATCCCATGCTCATAGTTTTGTGGATCTGAGATGATTCTCTAATATGAGGAATTGCCCAGTGTATGATACCTAGATTGTAAGAGAAAAAAATTACCAAACTGAAATTTATCTTGATATAAAATATTAATTAGCCTCAGAAGGGGCTCTAGTCGCTTGTAAAGGCAAATTGTAGATTATTAATAACTATTTTGAAGTAGTTTGAAACTGAAACTCTTGAACGTACTGAAAAAAAATTGCATTATTGAATTATTAATTTTAGGGTACAATCTAACGGCACTAAGGTATTATCGTTAGTCTTTGATAGTTTTATTCACATTCCTGACTAAAAATTGCTTACGTTTTTCCAATGCTAGCCCAAAAATATTCAACGGTAAGATGCAAGTTTACAGTTATTAAACATACGATAATTAGTCCAGCTTGAGATGTAATAAAATTCGAGAAGCTGATAAGCACACAAAATTTTAATTGAACATGATTTACGAAGTTAGGTGAATTGATATAATACAAGTTCCACTCAAAAATTGAATACATGAAATGACGTTTTATGGTATCTAGGCCAAAACTACCTATGACTACCTATGTGAGGATTTGTGAATCTATGAAGCTGTGATCCCATCCACATGACGGGATTAGAAGTTATAAGTTTGTCTCGTTCTTCCTGGTAATCTTTTTGACCACCAAAAACACTTTGTTAAGTAATGGTCTAATTTTGATTCTAGATTATTTTTGCTCGTCATTTTTCAGATTCCCAATGAGATCCAATTTGAGTGTTGCGTGCACGTCATTATTAGCTGCTAAAATAATTATATTTCATAGGTCACAATGTCCCTGTCATATATGTCATATGACGTAAAATTGTGAGATATCAAACAGCTTATGGGGGAGAAAATCACCATTATGATCGGTCGGATCGGCTCGGAACGACCGGCAGGTCAGTCTTTATATCGCGCACTGAATCGGCACATTCAGTATCGCACGTAGCAAATTTGGAAGCTATGTTGATGCAAGGTTGTAGCAATATTCATTTTCTCCACCATGTTTCAGCTATCGTTGACATTTTTTTTAATTGACGAAACAAATGTCTAGGAAAATTTTCAGCGCTAGTCATCATCTCTGATATCAATCAACCGTTCGTTTTTTTTTGTAGATAAATTGAATATAACTAGAAAATAATTGCCTACATAGGTCACGTGAACAAGTTCCAATGGGTCAATTTGACACTGTCATTATGAATTCGTATAGGTCGCGTGCACGATGACCGACCCTGGAGGTAAAATATTGGAACACAACCTCACTCTCCTGTAAATTATTGAAACACAAGCACACTTTTTTATTTTTCTATAGAGGAATCAAAGGATTGAAATAGTTTTTCACAATATCTTGGCAAACGAATCAAGCTTTTGCGCTATTCATTAATTCAAGCATGCTCTCGCATTTTGCTGTTGTACAATGCACAAAAAATGCAGCGAGAGACGAAGGAATATGATTTTTCAGGTAAATAGTAATCTCACATTGTTATCATTATGAAATGTTGTCATTCCCTATTAAAATTCCTTCTGCCACATCTGCAATACATGCTAATACTGCTAATATATTGAAAATGTCTACAACACACACGATCATATTTCGTCAGCATGTCAGACCAGTCCTCCTGTTTGATTGCATGAATCCAATCTTCTTGCATTCTTTAATAAATTTCACGTGAATTTCTATTAGCTCATAATGCAGAAGGAATCCCGATGAGAAATCAGAGAAATTACCAAATTTCAAAAATGGAAACTATATGTGAGTGACTATAGTAGGTAGGTACTTACTTTTGAATCATAATGTACCAACAGGATTCCTTCTGCTGCAGTTTTTGTGTATTGTACAACAGCACAATATGCTGACATGAGCGAATTTATGAATAGCCGAAAAATACGATTCGTATGCCAAAATAATTGTGAAAAACTATTTCAATCACTTGTAAACAAATAATAAAAGTGCGGTTATGTTTCAATGCTGTTCCTCCAGGGTTGGTCATCTGACTGTTCTTGCACGCAACCTATATTGTGGGATTCAATCAATCAACTTCATTATTCCCAAGAAACAACATTTGTTTTTAGCAGGGAACATGGTGAATATATAATTATATTTGACAAAATAAAGAAGACAGTAAAATAAGATTCACACTCAAGAAGAAACATTTTTTTCAAGTTCAACTGAAAATGATTCTAAATTGACTCAGCTGTTAGGTACCCAATGGAAAACTATAGTAGTTGTACGAGAAAACTATAAAATTGAGATAAGATACCAATATTACATGAGTAAATGTTTCTTGAATTCCATTTTGAAATTTTCCATCCTATTAATCACCTACGTAGTGAATTGTATTGTATCATTGATGGATTTTTATCCAATATCTGATTTAATTTTATTGACAGAAAAATTATCTGCTAGTCTAGTTGAGAGCTTTGATTTAGTATGTGTTGAATATGATAAAGTTTATGAGATCATAAGAATTCAAAAAGTGGGATGTTATTTGTTTTATAATAGTAATACTGATTACTCGGATTGAACGGATCTCGGATAGGTATATTGACGCAAAGAAAAAATGACCTGACCATGTTAATAGTCATACACAAAGTTTAGTCTGCAACTCGCTCATAATGGCTATTATCGAGTTTAGTACTCATCATGTTCACTAATAACGTCAAATCCATTCAACCATGTAGTCGGTTAATATGCGGTGATATCCGTGTGATAGCTTCTATTTGTTTGACTGACAAATTTGTAGAAAATTGTGCATGTGACATATACATTATATATTTGTATCATAACT